ATGGTGCTATGCCTCTCTAAATGCAATTAACGCTGAGCCACTTGGCGTTCCGAGATTCAGAGGTGAACGGGACACCCTCCCTGCAACTTTCAGATGTCTCGGAATGGAAAAGGGTTAAGCGATGGACCAGTATTATAGAACTACTATGGTTGACTTTCACAAAATGGTACAGTACTCATTTTATGAACACCCAAAGGGCTGAAGAAACTGAGTTAGGGTTTGAAATGAAGCCCCTTTCGCATGTGAAATGGGTACTCTGGCATAGCACCACTCAGCCGGATAATATTAATAGATAACGTTGTACTTAAATTAATAAGCAAATTAATGTTTTTTGTACAATCATCGGCAATGGCAGTTGCACTGCTGCAATGAAGGCATCCCCAGGCCATGACCAAGCTCCTTGTCTTACGATGCAACAATCCAACTAACACCTGCACTCGAGCTGATTTCATCGCTCCATCTCCGTGGTAGTCATTCTTTTCTGGCGTGTTCCTTCCTTTAGCTACCAATTCGCCAATAGTCTTGGCCACCGACCGTCATTCATGGTGGTCCTGACAGGGGAATGATTATATTATTATTATCCCTTCTTGAGACGCGTCCTGTCCTCACTCACAATACCAAATTGAAAATGATGATAATCGTGAATCTATAGCTGAATGAAGATCCATCTGTGTTATTGTCTTTGAGCCGACTCATCCGTAGCACATCTCATTTGTTGATATTCTCTTTGTTGTTCTGTTTTGTCCTTTTGCGTGTGGGCCCTCTCCCTGGTGCCATGCCAACTCTAGGTTGTGCCTTCGTTTCATGCTGTCAGTTGTCACCCCTTCTAGAGACATCACTTGCCCAAGTCAATAAGATTCGTGTATATCATAGTGAACATTTTAATTATAATTCTGCTTTTCAATCATATTCTTGTTTGCAGTATGCTGAAATTCACTACTTTATTTTGGATTTTTCGAAATAAGAACATCTGGTTACGGGACGATTACATAAATATAATACAGTAACATATATAAATGTAATACAATGATATAGGGGTAATCTAGGGCTCCCCCTAGTGGAGATGCTTCTGCCAGCGGTGGCAGGAGACACTAACTACAGGGCTGCATCTTTGAAATTTTACCTGTTACAATACAACTTGGGTATTCCAACAATAATTTCGCGTATGGTGAACAAAATTCCACAGTGATCTCATATTTCCGAGGCTATGAGCTCCATCGTGTAACTCGAATGCTCGTTGAACTCTGTTCGAACCGACTTCGCATATTGTTGGATTATTTATATCAATGGATCATATCAGTATCCAGTGTTTTTTTGTGTGGGTGCATTTTTTGCGCCATGTATTATGCATCAGTTATTAAATGCGCTTCCATTCACTTGGGGTCATATGAAACATTCATTGAAATGGTGGGCAGATTTTTGCCGTGAAAATCAAAATGACAGCCGCTGGGTTTTTTTTTTCTTTTTCTACGGAGCCAATGACTTAGAAAAAAAACAATCCTGCTGTCAGGGTATGGAGGTGAAAATCGTAATACCACATACTCGCCACAATTGTGCCCTAACAATGTATCCATCTTCTTGTGACTACTACTACGACTACTGCTACCTCGGTGAACTGGGACTTGGAAAAGATGCTTCAGTGTCACTTATAAGGTCATGAACCTTTTCCTCAGGTTTGTGTTAGATGCAGGTTTGTAACCTCATGGCGATTTAGCCCTGTGACCTGAGTGAAATTCCCGACCAGGGCAGCGAAGGGTGATCTCTGAATTTATTCTGGGCCTTTTCTTCACCAGCCTGAAATAACCAGGGTGGTGAAGTATGGTCACACATCCCTTAAGACTCGTAGAGTGTATGGAGACTCATCCAGCAATGGATTGACACACACTTTTAAATAATATTTTGTATATACTGACAGTATACATGTGTATATTAAATACGACAATTAAACTGCCCAGTGGTTGTGCAAGATTGTGAGCGTTTTGTGGGCGGAATCCCAATACAGAACATTGTCGTATCGTGTTGTCTGCTGCACTCGTGATGTTTTTTTTCCCCACCAGACATTTAGTAGGTAGGCCCTTGTGCCTCAATGCTGCAGATTTAATTCGAAATTCACACTGCAAGCAGCTGTCTTCCTGCAGGACCAAACGTTAATCTGCGCATCTCAGCTTTCGAGCTCGCTTCTGTCTTTCCTGTCTCATACCGGCTAACCCCTACGAAAGAGGCTTGTCAACTCTGGCGTCGCTTTCCATAGTCTAGTTCTCTTTGTTTCTGGCCACTTGGATCCTTGTCAAGGTGGTGGGGGCCGAGGGGGCTGGTGGTGGGGGGGGCGAGGGGGTGACTCTGCGTCGTGATAACAGCATCGACCTTTGGTAAAAATGTCACTCGGCACATTTTGGCATACAAATGAAAAACGCAGATTGATCGTGTAATTGTTCAACCAAGGCGGACGTGTGCCCGTACACACGGACAATGGAGTGCTGTTCAAACAGCGGATGAGTTGGCAGTAAAAGTGCAGATGCCGTGCTCGTTCGCTGAGCGAAGAGGCATCACCAAGAACCTGATGCCCCTCCGCGCCTTGTTCTTGTTGTGAAATGTCATTGTCCACCTGTCAGTAGAATCCATTACTTTTGAACTTGAGAAAAAAAGGTAGCGCCGACGGTATTTTGGCGCATGTTAAATCAGCTCTGCTGTTTTGTCTGTGAGTCTGCACGGCCAGGTTTTTTTTTTATTACCGAGAATTATGTTTTATCTTTATTTATAAAAATATTTTTATTCTTTTTTACCGATTCTGGAGGCATGGGTAAATGCCATTGCAGGCACACATATTGAGTTGGCATGTACATCGTACGACGGGCAAAACCATTTGGAGCTTGATTCTCAGAACCGCCGTTGTCATTTTTCACGCTAAAGTCATCGCACCGACTGTTATCCGAACATTGTCCACCGCTTTGCGAACCAGTTCTGGGACCCGCTCGCTAACCCACACTGACCAGAGTGGTTGAAGTAAAAAGAAAACCCAGTGGTGGACATGACAAAGGGGAGGCCTTCATCCAGCAATAGATTGACAAAGAGCTGTAAATGATAACTTATTATATGTGAAATGCACACCTAAGTATAACTGAGCATAGCAGATGTTACATGTAGTGTTTTAATAACTAAACGCTGCTAGTTGATTAACTTTGAACACACGGCGGTATATTCATGATGTTCCCCTTCATGTTTCAAACCTTGGTGATTTGATTTAGATGTAAAGCGTTTGTTTACATGTCATTACATATTCACTACATACGTGTAAGTTGATACCCTGGACACCCTTGCAAACGAGATGTTCCATCTCAAGCTATTTTCCAGGTGAAATATATAAATGTATCAAGCAAAAAGTTATTACCCTTCACGATGTCATCAATTGTTTAAAAACTTAACCACCTAACAGGTTCAAAAGGTAGCAACTAGTCAATCATAACTGATGATCACAAACGGCTGAATTACATTTTTGTTTAACATTCAAAAGTCCTGGTGTGCTCACACTATTCACGGCAGGGCTCTGCCTATGGGACCGGGACTAATAAATGCATCAATCTCTAACCCCAATGTTTGCAGCGCTGATCCTTTCCCGCGTTGTCCACGAGCAAACTGCCTCGCTTTCGCCGAGGTCAAGCATACAGACGTGTAAAGCATCTGCCGTGTACGCATTTAAAGCGCCGAGGCTTGGGGGCGATTGTTTGAACTTTCTCTCGTGGCGTGCAACGCTATGGTGGACCTACATCATGCTGATCTTTATTAACCGTTCACTTGAGTCCCACCATGGCATATCCTTGCGGAGGCACTTAGTTGGACCTTTATATATATAAGTTTTTCAATCAAACTGTATCCTGGCAGTTTGTTTAGTGCCCCGTGTTATTTTTTAGTCAGTGGTACAGCCCAATAAGTCCTGTTTATGAGACCCCTGGCCCATGCCATGCGGTGCAGCACGGCAGGACACTGTAACAAGGTTTTCTACAAATATGTAAATTGGTCCCAACCCTTAGCAGCTGAGACCTGCTGGATGTCTGCTTTCCCGGCCCAATTTTCCTGGAGCCCGCATTGATGTAAAGCCCTTTGGAGAGACATTCGCCAGCAAAAACCTGATGCCCGTAACCCGAGCTGGTGGCTAGGCGGTCGGTCGCGTGCCTGATTGGAGTTTCCAGCCGTTTTCTGGAAATGCAAATGCGTTTGTTTAAATTATTCTAACCAGAATGCATATTTGATTAATCGTGTTTCAGGGGGGAGGGTGGAAACGTGATTGTTTTTGCTACCAAGTAACAATATCCTGTGCAGTGTAACAGTTTTGTGTCGATATGAACATCGTTTTGTTTAGGCATATCTTCAGATCATCAATGCATTCATTCTATGTTGTCATTCTATTGTTAATCATTTTATGAGTTTATTCCGCTTTTTTTGTACGTTGTCAAATCCATGCTAACGGAATTACATCCATAACGCGGGCTTCTCCAATACGTTGTAAAAACGGGCTCCTTCATGATTCATGCCATCCTGCAGTGTCTAAGCACCTTTGGATCCAAACGCCAAATTACGCCGATGCTTTAGATTTTGTGCCATTTGGACTTCGAGGCCTGTGCTGTAATTCCGTTACTGCCGAATTTACCATTGGTCTTGCCATCTTTGTTTTCCCCGCTCCTCGCCTCCGATTAAGCACGGCTGGCTACGTACGGTGCGGCGAAATAAGTTAATCATGCAAACATCTCACTTTTATTTCGTCATCGTGTTTTACAGTTTCATTTATTTTTTGTTCCTCATACTTTTTCGTTTGTGTGTTTTGTTTTTGTTTTCTTCACCCCATCCACACCCCCCACCCCCCACCACCTCTTCATCCCCTCAACTCGCACCCCTCCTGCTCACCTCCCCCAACGCTGCCCACTCCCGGTGCCACCCCTCCGTCGTCGCATCACCGTCCCGACGCGCGCGCCGCCCCCCCCCCCGCCGCCCCCCAACGTCGCCAGACGACATCGGCCACTCCGTGTCTCCCAACCCGTCGTCCCACCCCCCGTCTGTGACCGGTGCCGCCGCGAACGACCGCCACCGCACAGCGAGCGGCGGGGAGGCCCCTCTGCCGTCGGCGCCCCGCGACGTCGTGGCCGCCCTGGTGTCAACGCGCTTCGTCAAGCTCATGTGGCGAGCGCCCGCCGATCCGCAGGGAGACATCTTGGGCTACACCGTCTTCTACGCCAAGGAGAAGGCCAACAGGTCAGCGCATGATGGAGAAAGGGGGGGGGGGTGCCCCCTCACCCTGTTGGATGACGAGGGCTGGAATGGTTTTTGGCGGTCACCGTGAATTGTCACGCGACTCGCAAGTCGGCGGTGGTTTTTCCGAGGGTTGGAATTGGCACTTTAGTGTGCCGATGACACCAGATGCCAGAGACCAGTCCACGTGCTCTGAGTGGCTCGATATGTTATTTTTCCATTATCCCAATTCAGATGTGGGGTTCATGGAATATACTGGCATTCATGTGCTGCTTGTGGTAGATCACTTGTAGGTTTGTTATCTGTCTTAGAGCAGCAACTGATAATTGATAGTGAGGAAAACATGTCACGGGCTGTTTATGAATAGCTGATCTGCAAATGCCTCCTCACCGATGTATGAGCTAAATCAAAGTCAAACTGTCCCAATATTTAACTGAGCATTGGAGAGTGTTTACTTATATTGGTATCCCTGAGCTATCGGTAGAAAATAATCAATTTTCTCACGCTAGAACCAGTTTTTCTTCACAGCACAACCACTGCTGATTTTCCACGAAGTTGGTAATTGTGTTATTGACCCCAACGAGGCACGAGGTATTCCACTGACCAGGATTACTACTGGAAACATTCTGATTGGTGGGTAGGTGTATGCTCGACCAGACCAGATAGACAGGGTAGGAGGTAGACATGTTTAGGTGGGGAGTATTTACTATGCATTGTTTTTCAATCCACTTTAAGTACCTAGGATGAGCGCATCTATTAATTAAGATAATCTACTATAAGTTAGAATGTTGCCTTCGTAAATTGGATTGAATAAGTGTTTGTTACTAAAGAGCAGTGCGAGAGAAACATACTTCTTTGTAACATAACCTGGATAAAAGTCAATCAACATTTAATTATAATTTGGTGACAAGTGATATCGCGGTCCTACAAGTGACAGCGCACATATCACTTATTGGAGTAAGTGGTGTTCATTGTTCTGATAATTTTGGTTAAATTCAGCAACTACATATAATTCACATTGTACTTAGATCATCATTATAATTTATTACAAACTAATTAAATGTAACTAATTACCAGCACTAATGTTGGTTTGATTGGGCACACATAAAACCTTAATTGGTTCAATGTCGAATCATACTTGCTTGTCAGCTTGAGTGTTATTATGAACGTGGACATTTGAATAATGAATGTGTTTGCCCAAAATGCACTACTCCAGGAATTAATTGTAGTACAGGTGAATCTTTCAAATGGTCCACATTTGCCAAATTTGAGAAATTAACCACAAATTACTCAGCAATCATCACCCGCTACTGCAAGAACCTGGCAGGACACCTCCTGAAAAATAGTCGTGAGACTCAGTGAGGCCTTCCTGGGTACACAAGCATAATACAACATAACTGCGAAAACTAAAATTTATTTTATTTGACCAGGTAAGGCCCACTGGACTATATGTAGTTCTTTTTCAGAAGTGACCTGGCCACAAATTAAGTGGCTTATTACGTGAAAATGTATAACAGCCACGCACTCTAAGCTCATGTTGATTCTAAAAAAAATGCTCATCTTTTCACAATGGCCCTGGCGCTTTTGAGGGAACCATCCCCTTATACTAGTTCTTCCACTTAGTGGGTTTTAAGTGCCAATTATTCTACCAGCGTTTGATGCAACAGCCTTTGACCGACCAACGCCACAGGATAGATTGGCTCTCACCTGAGGAAGTAAACATTCCCGACCGCTGACACAGGCCTGCCAAGAGAGAATCGCGCCCACCTTTGTGCTCTTTAAGCACAGGGAACACTTTGACTTGACGTGATTACAATGGCAGATTGACACGTGCCAACAGAGAATACATACACTGAAGCCTCTGTGGAGCACATCCAATGTCTTATTCAATAAACACCTCTTCCCTGTCCTGTAGAGAGCCCAGTTCAGCCGTGAAGGCAAGTGCACGGATTCTATCCGTCTTGCAATGCGGTGTGTCGCCAGTGGCAAGCACAGCCAAATCAAGTGAAAACATTCACCAAATCATCTTCAATTATAGTCATCTTCAATAAAAAATATTCTGCCACCACCATAACTTTGGTAGCACCGATGCATTTGTTCAATGTGATTTTATCAAATATATATTTATCCTCAACCCACAACTTTCCACTTCATTACCTCTTCTTTATAAAGCCATTTTAATGTCCCTCCGTGGAAGAGTTGAACGTTTAATGCCACCTCAAAGGTATGGGCAATTTGTGAGGTCACTGCCACTTCCTGCTGGTTATGCAGAGTATTAACCTACGCACAATACATGCAGTTGAATTGTTAATGTATCGTGGATTTTGGATTTCCCCTTTACTCTCATGGGCTAGGGAATTAATGCTGAGGCTCTCCTGCAAAATACTTTAAGTAAGCATGTTTTGCATTGCTAATTTTAATGCGATGCATTTTTCGTACAAATTAGTCACAAAGTGTGTCCATCAAACAAATACTCGCTGGTGCATACCTCCATTGGTGATCGTGAACCAGTGATGGAAACTCCACATTACTATGGTGGGGGGGGGGAGGCAGGGGGGGGGGACAGTGTCTTAATGGCGCAATGACTGTGGATTTCCACAAAGTGGTACTGATTTTTTTTTGTCGAAAAATAATGGATAATATGACGAGTCGTTCCTCAAACAAAATGTGAGCGCATACTTCGGACTGTGAGTCGGTCAGTTCACCAGTGGCAGCTGCTCAGAACATACGTGTAACATATACAGTGGTACTGCATCGTTGCCATTGGTCATCCAGCAGTGGATTGATCGTGGCTTATGATGGTTTTATCCTTGTCAAAAATAACCAGTTATAGAGATGTACATAAAACTTGATTTGAAGCTTCCGTGACTGCAGGAATTACTCTTTGGTTCTTTCGGTAAAGTCACGTAGAAATAAAATAAAATAAATAATAGAATACGACGTTTAGATTGCAACACAAGCAACCGTCATCAGGTATGAATGAATGAGAAAACAAGTGGAGTGGGAAGCACGTGGGGAGCACGTGGAAGCAAAATAACACTTAGTACCCAGAAACAAAAATTGTGTAACATAGTGTAATCAATCTTTGGTGTACGTATTAAATAAATATCTTGGTAACTTTCAACTAGTGTTCATGGAAAATGCACTACATTTGCATTTAAATTATTTTGAAGACATTGGAAGCTCGTTAATTTTTAAACCAAGTATGTGAAATAAATTTAATTAGTTTTGAAATGATGTCCCAGGGACTTGGTAGTGCCAACATGCCCACAGAAGATCTGAAAAGAATCATATATATTCGTTAGCTTTTGGGAAATACAATTTAAATCACTTTTTTATTTTCTAGTTGTACAATTTAAAATGAGATTTGCAAATAGATTTTATTCTTACCTTAGCATTTTCTGCAGAGTTTAAAAGTTATGTTTTACTCTTACAGGAACACTTAAGTGGTTCGTAATACTCACTGCATGTTAAATATTACCTACAAAGTCATCAAATTGTGGTCTGCAACTGCGAAGAAGCCATTATATTTTCACAATTAAATTTAACACATCGTACTTTTTTTCTTAGTTCTTTCGGTAAAGTCACGTAGAAGGGAAGTAATAAAATAATAAAAATAAAACATAATAAAATAAAATAATTCTCACGACGTTTCGGCTACAACGCAAGCAGCCGTCTTCAGGTGAAGACTGAGACAATGCCAAGCTAGGAGCTTATATATAAGCTGCGTTGGAGGTGGAGGAAAGAGCGCCTTAACAAAAGAATGTGCATATGAAGAGGAATTTAGCATATTCATGGAAAATGCGTAGGAGGTGGGCGGGGGGGTTTCAAAGTCATATTATGCCCATGCATTATGCAGGATCAACAGCACCAAGGGGGGGTGCAGGGATTAGCAGTAACAAAGGAAAGGAATGTTAATGATATGTAGCTGCAGTTACTCAACCACCACGTAGAAAACTAAAGTATAAACTACATAAAAAACTAAAGTATAAATAGCATAGCACCATCAGTATACTTACTATACTCTACACTAAGCTGAGTTACTAACAGCAAGTAATACATTACAATTCTACGTCGTAAAAATTATATAATATGCTTCCATCTAAACTTTATTCTATTGCATCACACGAGCATATACCGTACTATATACTGCCAACATTAAATTATATACTGTATTGCTGTAAACCAACCTATATCTTATACATTTAATATAACACTATGTATTATTCTACCCACCCTAATGTTAGGGTGGGTAGAATAATACATAGTGTTATATTAAATGTATAAGATATAGGTTGGTTTACAGCAATACAGTATATAATTTAATGTTGGCAGTATATAGTACGGTATATGCTCGTGTGATGCAATAGAATAAAGTTTAGATGGAAGCATATTATATAATTTTTACGACGTAGAATTGTAATGTATTACTTGCTGTTAGTAACTCAGCTTAGTGTAGAGTATAGTAAGTATACTGATGGTGCTATGCTATTTATACTTTAGTTTTTTATGTAGTTTATACTTTAGTTTTCTACGTGGTGGTTGAGTAACTGCAGCTACATATCATTAACATTCCTTTCCTTTGTTACTGCTAATCCCTGCACCCCCCCTTGGTGCTGTTGATCCTGCATAATGCATGGGCATAATATGACTTTGAAACCCCCCCGCCCACCTCCTACGCATTTTCCATGAATATGCTAAATTCCTCTTCATATGCACATTCTTTTGTTAAGGCGCTCTTTCCTCCACCTCCAACGCAGCTTATATATAAGCTCCTAGCTTGGCATTGTCTCATTCTTCACCTGAAGACGGCTGCTTGCGTTGTAGCCGAAACGTCGTGAGAATTATTTTATTTTATTATGTTTTATTTTTATTATTTTATTACTTCCCTTCTACGTGACTTTACCGAAAGAACTAAGAAGATGAATCCCTGCAGTCACGAAAGCTTTAAATCGAAAAATTACATCGTACTTTCAATACAAAACCAATCTTGGTTGAATATTTAGACTTAGTGGGTGAGCAAAAGAAAAACTATATCGCATGAGTTGTGGTATATTTATTGATACCACTGCTCATGGTCACGGTAGACCATTATGCTTGTCGTTCAGCTTTACAGAATGCCCAGTCCAAGCGGATCTTTATGTGCAAATGGTCTCCGTGTCATTTACAGCCAACTTAACATTAGCCGCTCTTCTGATGAGTGGAAGAGAAAGCGATTACATACCTTCATCATGGTGGCCAGCCAGTTACGAGAATGATAGTGGCTTTCGTTGAGCTTTGTTTCCAGGGGTGCGTGCACATCTTCATCGTAATCTTGCTTGGTTTTCATGTGCAAATTCGCTCTTTGAGACCACGTGTCCAATTGCATGCTAGAATTGTGCAGGAACAACATTCAAAATGTCATGAAATAGCCTCTGGCATTGAAATGTTGGACCTTTTTTTTTTTTAGCTGACAAATTGTGGGGTAAAAAAACACATGTAAATTCTGCTTTGTTATAAGAAAGGATTGAACTTCCTGCCATTGTGCGCTCGAATGTTGTTGAATGTGAAGTTGTTATGCTTGTCTTATTACCGCAGTTGCTTCCACGAGGTATCAAATTATGCTGTGCAAATGCGTTCGTGGATTTTTCCTTTCCAATGATCATTGCAAATGTTTGCATGCCTTGGGCGGTGGTCATTGTGTAATGCAAATGCTGATATGCTCGAATGTGTTGTGTTTTTCAAGACATGATTTATTTTCGGTACAACATTTCTTTTATATATATATGTTTTTCTCCCCAATCTATTACAATTGTCCTATTGTTGTCATTTTGTGCAATGATGCATGCATTCGGTTATCTGTCAGATCAGTGCAGTGCATGCTGTGTGTCAGACATGTCCATAAAAAAAATCCTGCAAATGCTCAACATTGCTCTTTATGTACAAACGCCTCTCACGTGAGTTTTTACTTTAATCGTGATTTACAACACGTACTCTCCCAAATCAAGTGAAAGTGATTTTCTGCTCAAATAGCCATTGGTGGACATTCCACATTACTATGTCGCGGGTGTGTGCATCCATAGGATAACCGCTGTTGACTTTCGCAAAATGTGGCGCTCATTTAAGTGACCCCGGAGGGATGATGGGCCAGGTAAACTGCCAACCAGGATTTGAAATTGCAAACTTCCAACTGCAAGCCGCTCGCTCTCCTATTGAGCCACGTGTGACTGGAAATACACAAATCAAAATGCATTGATCTTAAGTAAGAACGAAGTATATTTAAAACATCTGTTTGCACTCTACTCAAACTTTTAACAATGATTATTATAAAAAAAATTAACCTCAGGTTTTTGCCTACCTTTGGTTCTGCCAAATCATGTACACGTAGCATGGTGCACATCTGTTCACACTTTTTTTCAAAAGAAATCCAACAGGTGCAAATTGAACCTCGGCTGACTTCATTAAAGTGCCCGAGCAAAGTTGTGCCAAATCCCGCCCAAAGGAGTCCCGCCGCATACGGTGGCAACCAACTGGTAACAGCGCCAATGACCGGGGGTCGTGACCTCTCTCCCTAGGGAACGAGCGGTGAACACCACCAAGCCAGGGGACCTGCAGGTCACCGTCGTCGACCTCCACCCCGAGGCGGAGTATTCCTTCCGCGTCATGGCCCTCAGCAGGCACGGTCTGGGAGAGAGCTCCCAGACGATCAGGGTGGCCACACAGGCTGAAGGTCGGTCCCCACGGCGAGCGGCCGGTCCGCTCGGTCGACGGAGAGGAGGGGTGCTTGATGAGACGCGACCCAAACTAAAACAGCTCCCCACCTCTGCCGTTACCTCTGACGTGTGAACGGGTTTTATTCTTCTGTGAGCAGGTGTTCAGCAGCAAACACGACCCGTAAAGAGCTCAACAGCCATATATTTCAGTGATTTTAACCTTGCTACGCAGTATCCGCAAACGAAAGCTGTTAATAACGTCACATCTGTGCATTTGTATACTCTCTTGAAATCTCTCGTTTTTTTGTTGTTGCACCGGATTTTCAAGGTGCTGTCCCTCATGTTACGTAAATACGGTGGCTGTCTCTCTGCGCTCAGAAGTGCTTTTGCACACTCCCATCTTTTTTCTGTCAAAAGGAAATGTTCTCGACTTAATTTTACGAGTTGTTTTGGCTTTTGCTGTAGCACTGATGTCTCTCCGGTCTCTTCACGGTTATGTTAAGTTGGTCCATGATTAAGGTGTTTTGCTTGGCCCAGAAAGATAATTTCCAAGTTGGAGCACTTGCCCAGCAACTGTGCATGGTGGTACATGCACGTTGTGTCAAGCATTATAGAATCTCGATTTGTTACTGTCTTTTCTAAAAGCCCTTGAAGGTAATGGGTCACATTTTTATAAAACACTTACACCTAATGGGGTGGTGAGAGTGGTGGCACAGTGGTTAGCACACTGCGCTATGAACCCGGTGACCCGAGTCCGATTTTCGTCCACGGCTAACATCAGTGGTGAGCAACATCTGAACCATTCCGGTGCATGTGCCCCCTTATCCCACCCACAATGACCAGTTTGGTTAAGTATGGTCAAGCAACCCCCAAAACCGACGCGGTTTTGAGAGGTTTTTACCCAGCAGCAGTGTTATTTCTCTTACACGATTGCATTCGAAAACATAATGGATTATTATCATCTACACTACTTTGAAAATTGCCTCCCTTTGTTTGCAGGCAGTGAAAAATAGGAAAAAATTTGATATAGAAATGAACTTTGGGTCCACTAAACTGAATTATTTGTGCCATTGCTGCTGCTGCTATGATTATGCTGTAATTTACTCACAAACGAGCTCACAGTCTTTCCTCCTGGAGACTCTAATGCCATGCTCGCTGGATGTGTTTCATTTGCACGTGTTCCAGGCCAATGTGTCCGCGGTTGATGGATGAATCTTGACAGGCAATGCCAATTCTAAAACTGTGAAATGAGATTCTCTGAAATGGGTTTTCAGTGGTATCCAACATTGGCCATCTTCAGAGTTTAAATTAAAGGTACCTAGTGTTGAAATAGTATTTTAATAAGCAGAAGCAGGGTACAATCCGATTATCTTGCTAAGTGAGAAGGGGAGGGAGAAAATTGGCTGATTATCTCAGCTGATAAGGTGGCAAGAAGACCCACTGTTCAAATTGCCTGTCCTTGGCAAACTGGATTCTCTAGCACATGTGGGAACAGCCTACAGAATATGCTATCATCAAATCTGCTGCTCCTCCTATACCTGCTTAATTGACCTCCCTTACCACACCAAAAAAAAATTCAGTTTATAGATCATGCTCCTATTTTATGCTCGGTGGGAATAATAAATTGTGTTTCCAAAATCTTGCTAATATTTGCTTTTGCTGTGGGGATGGAGTTTGAAGCCGTTTTTATGTAAGTGTGCCCCGATTAGGGTTCTGAAATCTGCCGCCCTTTCCTGCCCACCAGCAGTGTACATGGTGTCACCGCCACAGTTAGTCTATGAGAAGGCCACGTGTGTCGGGGTTAAATGTTGGCACTCGCACCTCTTTCCGGCGGGTCATTCTTGTTAAAACCACCGTAACGGCTGAATATTTGATAATTGTTTTTTTACCCTTTTATCTGGCAACAAAACTGACACCTTTTATACAAGGAGTCATGTTTGCATAGACCACAATACCTGCAGTCATAATGCAAACAAAAAACATAACTCTGATAATGTATGCACTGTCCTTGAAGTTTTTGCGCCTTTTGGCATCATCTGGTCCAACCCATGTGAGACTAGGCTCTAAGGAAAGCTGTCTCGGGTGTGGACCAATCAACTTCAAGGACAGTGCATACATTATCAGAGTTATGTTTTTTGTTTGCATTATGACTGCAGGTATTGTGGTCTATGCAAACATGACTCCTTGTAAAAAAGGTGTCAGTTTTGTTGCCAGATTAAAGGGTAAAAAACCAATTATCATATTTTTTACTGGCAAATGAGGTTCCAATGGCTGAATATTTCTTACCCACGTAAATATGTATAATAATAAAATCTTCGAAAATGACAGGTCAAAAATGGAAGAGTAGGCCAAATTCTCTCCAGAGCAGCTTTTCAGAGCATTTCCTAAATAGTGTATATCATCATTCAAGAATCGATGTTTATGAACTTTATACGCTATTTACCCTAAATATGTATGTATTTACTTTTGTTTGTTGTTCTAGTTTTTGATTTCTGTGATATTTTTGCATTGGAAAACACATCGCAAATAAAAAATGAGACTTATTTACGCAACTGTGCATAGCATCACAAGGACTTGTTTATATATATAATACAAAAGTAAAAACATTTTTGACACTGCAAGCAGAATCTTTTGTGGGATTTTGCGATAAATTTTATAATTCAGAAAGATGAATCTGGCTGTTTGCTCTTCCTGTTTTCTTTTATTTTGTTAAACCAGTGCAAGTGCCGGGGCCGGCTATGAATCTGGAAGCCGAAGTCACCTCTGCTACCTCCATCACTCTGAGCTGGGACATGCCCATCTCAGGAAATGGCCCGATCCTCAACTATCGCCTTTACTACATGGAGCGGAGCCCGGGCGTGGATGGGGAGCAGGTGAGAGAATCAAGCAAGAACCACATTAGGACGACATTACTGGCAGGCTCCACCAGGACACGTGGCAGGCTGACAGCCCCCCTACCCTCCATTGGCCCCACCCACTTCTACATAGACACGCCCACTCATTCACTAGCCCCACCAATAGGGAGTGGCCTCACACTTTCTCACATTGGCCCTGCCCACTGCTCATATGCCACGCCCATTCCTACACCAACCCCCACCCACTGCTCAGGCAACCCCCAGTTCATGAGTGCACAGCGTAAGGCCAGTTGGTCAACTTTTAATACAACATTGCTAACAAATTGCTAAATTATTATTCCTAAGATTAATTCATAATGACGACGATAATGATGCAATTAAGCAGCTTCATCAATTACGGCAATATAATTCCACCCCCTTTTGAAGACATTTGCAATGTACGATAATGTGATGTTAAATCAAAGACTGCAATGCGCAAAGTCTCTTTCCACGTGAAAGCGATCCATGGATCTCTCATTAACGACGCACTGGACCAGAGTCAATGATGTTCTGCTGGATTTGTAGGCACATGCAGTTGGGTCTGGCGGTTGTTAAGCCCCCCCCGAATAGATTTCTCTCTCGCTGCACTCATAACCATTGGAAATCCCGAGTAATCATCAACTTTATTAAACGTTTTCTATTCAGTTGGACACTACATGGAAATGAAATGGGTTATCTGAATAACAGCCTTACCATATTTCATTCTCTCGGACGCGACGTTATTGCTTTCTATTTAGCGATTCTTCCGCACGAGCGTAGGATTTTGTGTGCGACTGCACAAGTGTAGTGGGTTAGCTTTATCAAGCATCCTCGTCTATCATCAGTCACTTGTGAAAGAACATCAATTGCCATTCATTAATAAGGCTGAGAGAACATTAAGACTCAAATGCCTGTCCATTGCACTTTAGCGATAGTATCGCCTTTGGCCGAGATGGGATTTGTTGTTGTTGAGAGAAGTGAGCTCCAGCGCCTCGGCGTTACGTACAGTAGTCATCACCGGGACGGATCCCGGTATGCAACCCCTTTACACCACTTCCAACACGCCCCCCCCCCCCCCCCCCCCCCCCGTAAGCTTTATTTGAGATCCCAGGTGGCTACACCATTGGGATGGGAGGTGGTGTTGACACGGGGAGCGGGCTGCGCGGGAGCAGGAGGTCGCTAAGCAGATAATGCCAACTCCGCCCAATGGTCCGGCAAACAGCTTCACAACCGCCCTGACGTGAAGCCAAATTTGAGATCTGCTGCCGTAAGCGCATGCTCCCCTCAGAAGATGGGGTCACTGCCTCCCCGAAGACCTTCCCTACCCCCCCGCCACCCCCGCCCCCCACTTCCCTCCCGCGTGTGATTAACAGCCCCATCGACGAGTGCTTACTTTATCCGCTGGTGCTCCGAGTCTAAAGACGCTGAGGTTCAACCTCCTGCGAGGTGTGCGACAGCGTCTCTGTGGTGTCGCGTAAGCGTCATCGACCCTGTCACCACGTCTGGCTCGGACACTGTTGATATTCGAAGGCATCAAGCGGAGCCAGTTCTGCTCGTTAATCTCCGGTCACCGCCCAACTTATCAAATTACGCGGAGCGCGTGCTCACGCGCGGAACGATGATGGTGCGATCGTTAGGTTCGGAAACGTGACGATACATTGCGGGTGTCAAAGATCGCGAGGACAGCTTTTGTTGGCAACCGACAGTGTGTGGGTGCGAATGCCGTGTAGGCGTAGTGTGTATGTGGTTGTTGGGGGGTTTTTTTCATTCGGGTGCATTTGGGAATTGAACAAAAAAAACAATTTGGTCCCTTTATTGATAGGCTGCGTGAAGGTTAACAAGATTTTCAGCAAATTCCTTCTTTTTCATCACGAAGGCAGACATGGCTGTCAGCTCATTTATCAATCTCCCCTTGTAGCTCTAAGGGATGTTCCCTCCCTTCCGATAAACTTCCCAGACCAGCCCAGATTGACTTACCTTAAAACACAGAGCCATCAAATCGGGTTCCAAATAAATTGAACCTGCCCTTGCTGACTCTCTGTGCTCTGACCTTCCACAGCGTTGTCAGCACTGTCCAAGCCAATGCATTAACCTCTTCTGTGGCTACGACCTGGCCAAGTAATCTATTGTAACTGGTGTTTATTAATAAGGCACACGATTAGGCATTTGTTTTCCTCCCCAGGTGTACACTGCTAAAATAAGTGTTTGAATTAGTGCTTTATTTTTTATTGCTTTCATTCGTTGTGACCGCATAATTTCAATAAGAAGTGCGGGAGTAGCTATTTACAAATATATATATAATATTTATAAGCAACAGTGGCGTTCTTTTAATTTGAAATATATTGAACAGCGAGCCTCATTCCACCAATTACTCATGGTGCTGGGGCTTTGTTTAAGTTTGGCTGAATCAAATGAAACTGCTGCGCTCTTGCCCATTTCCCATAACGTGTAGCAGCCAGCGACAGTGAGCGCTGGAGGAGAGGGACGCAGATGATAGGAGATGACGAGTGACAGAAGGAATCGGCCAGGCGCGTAAATCATATCGGGGAATCAAGAGATGAAATCCAGAGGGTGCAGTACCTTAGAAGGACAGTGATGAAAGCAGCAGGGAAAGAAAGACGAGACAGCAAGAGGTCACAAACATGATCGCGCATGTAGTTAATGAATTAGTAGATGACCGTCAATGAAGAGGAAAGCTCTCTGTGAAGCTGATTCTATTTAATCGTGCTTTTATAGATGCGCTTTCAATATCAAGTGGGACTTCTTGCTCATTGGTGAACGAAAAAATCAAAATGCTAAATAGATGAAACCCACGGCTTTAATGGCTTATTAAACACTAGCACTGGCGAAGCCACCGCTTCTTCGGCAGCATTCCGGACCGTCCGGCACCGCTCGCCGAAAGATGAACTTGTCACCGGTGCCTGGCGGCGTTGTGACTCTCCGTTGTCGCCCGCACCGCCACCTGGCAGGAGGTGGACGTGGGCGGCCAGTCGTACAGCATGCACGGCCTCAAGAAGCACACGGAGTACGGCTTCCGCGTGGTCGCCGTCAACCGGCACGGCCCGGGAGCCTCCACCGAGGACGTGGTGGCGCGGACCTACTCGGACGGTACGCCTGCCAGCCTCTCTGCCCACTCGGCAGCACCTGTGCAAACCCGTTCGTTCGTTCGTTTGTTCATTCACAGATAATTGTCTCGATTTAAAGCTTTCGTGACTGCAGAGATTCATCTTCTTGGTTCTTTCGGTAAAGTCACGTAGAAGGGAAGTAATAAAATAATAAAAATAAAACATAATAAATATACGCTCCAAGCTTGGCGGTGATTCATTCTTCGCCTGAGGACGGCTGCTTGCGTTGTGGCCCGAAACGTCTTGAGAATTATTATATTATGTTTTATTTTTATTATTTTATTACTTCCCTTCTACGTGACTTTACCGAAAGAACTAAGAAGAAGAAAATTATCTGTTCATTGACTCTATATCAGCTCGGCAATTGCCTGCACCCATTCGTTGACAAATTAAGAAATCCATAAGTTCATCGATTCATTCCTTCACGCAATTTATTTCTTCCCTCGCGTTACATCTGCCACTTAGTACCGTGTAGTGGACCGATCAATTGAGGATCCCATTTAGGCGTGGCCGATGGGCCCGTGACGTGGAGAGGGCACAGAGCAAGGCCAGCGCATGAAGGGAGCTTCAGCGCCAATTTCCTCAAATGAGTCTTGGGCATTGGTAGGGGGGGCATTCATGTCCATAACCAATCTGAGCTAGAGTAGGACATTCTAAAGCAGGACCAGTCTATCTGTGAGACAATCATTGTTGATTTCCCATGAAGTGATACACCTGGGCGGGTGATGGACAGAGTTTTTATTGCAATTGAGACTTCTGATTGTGAGCAGTAATCTACACTCACAGCGGCCGCAGGCTGGGAATGATTTTATAAAAATAAGTTGCAAAGAATCCTAAACAGAACCCTGCTGGAAAAAGTTTTGAAACTGAACTGAGGGTCTCTGATTGAAAATCACCAATGTAGATAAATACCACGGCACACTCTATTGAGCAAACATATCTTCATTATTAAAAACAGAAAAACTTGATTTTGCATGTGGCAGAAACTGAGAATACCTCAAGAAATTGAGGGAAAAGCATGAACAAAAATCTGGTCTGGCAGGTGATTATGCTGCAATTTCTCCAATAATCATACAATAAATCGATAGTAAGAGGTGTCTGTTGACAATGGTCATGATGAGAATAGCTGGGAAATGACAGTCTATTAAAGAACAAATATGAAGATATAGGCAGGTAGTTGGTTTCAGTTGGGAGGATTGTTTGTTAGGATTGTTTGTTTCCATATGCTTTTTATGAAAGGGAATTATTTCCCTCCTATACCTCCCTGGGAACCAAGAGACGTGTTTATTGCAGCCTGCCTCGGTAAATTCACCTAACGAAAGCTTGTAATAAAAAGTTAATTTGTAAACAGTGGAGCGTATCAGCCTCGTGTAACCCCGTAGAATACTAAATAATTCAAGTTGATTAGATCCCAATCCAAATTATTTCCTTAATGGTTATAATGGCATTCCAGTAAGTATTTTGACTCTCTGCAGCCTAGGCAATTTTTGCTCAATCAATTCCATAAAGCATGCTGCGAGTTTATTGTCTCTGAGGCCGATGGTATCTAATAGTGTGCAGGTTGTGATGAAGGGTTCTTCGTTAAAGTATCATTCGACTGACTGACACTGTAAAATATATATTTTTGACACGAAATAAAACGCAGATCTCAGTGTTTCAGCTGACTGACCTTCAGCAAGATACATACGTTCACATTTGTGTTTCGGGAAGGCTGTTATCAGCAAACAAGAGACATTCATGTAACCTGGAGGAATGAATGATTACATGAGTTGTGCCAATCACTGGTAGCTCACCTGGGCGGGCAATTAAAGTTACAAACTGAGATTCATATTCTTATTTTTGATCATTTATTTTATTTTATTATTTCTTAACCTGAGTGAGCACACTGGCAGTATATAATATAGACTCATTCTGGTTCTTTCAGTAATACGTTTTTAAAAAAAAATTATTACTGAAATTATGAAAAAAATATATATTTTACTGACAGAACCAGAATGAGTCGACATTAGAAACTGCCAGTGCACTCACTCAGATTAAGAACCAGGCTACAGTCTACATTATAGACTGTCAGTACAGTCACCAAAATTAATAACCAGGCTACAGTCCACATTATAGATTGCCAGTACACTCACTCCGATTAAGAACCAGGCTACAGTCTACATTTGTGTTTTTTTGTTTTTATTATTTTTATTTAATTTTCATGATTTTTTCCCCACTTTATTTTTTATTATTCTTTTTCTTTTTACGTGACTTTACCAAAAGAACCAAAGAATATGAATTCCTGCTGTCACGAAAGTTTTAAGTCAAAATTACACACAGAGACTAGAGCTCGATTGTCCACAGTAAACGTTACATACACAGGGGCCTGGGGCTAGAGCAGTAATGCAGTGGATAGGGCAGTGCCTCTGAACCTAGCGACCTGAATTTGATTCCCAGTCCATGCAACAAGGGGGGGGGGGGGGGATATGGTCAAGCAACCCCCGATCAAGACACCATTGAGGGGGCCTTCATCCAGCATTGAATTGACGATGGGATGTAAATTATTGCATCAAAATGATATCAGGCTGCATGGCATCAGAGTTAGAATGCTCAGCTTGCAATTAATTGACAGGCTTCAAGTTTAAATCGCCCTTTTGGGGTAAACGCGTAAACTCAACAGCCCTCCGGAGTTAATGAGATCAGCATTCATTTGGTGTGAAGTGAACCAGCGTTCATTCTACGAAGAGGCTGGCCCCCCACCATAGCAATGTGTGACTTCTTCATATTTGTTCTTTAATAGACTGTCAGTTCCTGGCTATTCTCATCATGACCATTGTCAAGAGACACCTCTTACTATCGATTTGATGTATGCTTATCGGAGAAATTGTGGCATAATCACCTGCCAGACCAGATTTCTGTTCATGCTTTTCCCTCAATTTCTTGAGGTATTCTCAGTTGCAGCCACATGCAAAAATCAAGTTTTTCTGGCTCCGCACTGTCAGCGGACACGAGGAGGAAGCTCACTGTTGCTCATTTCATCGGCGAGACTCTGACTTCCATCAAATATGCAGTTGCAAACAGACCATTCAATTTTCCCAGCCAATATATATTCATATTCATGTTAAGAACGTAGAAAGATAGGAATAGGGGGGTGGGGCAGTTTGGTCCATGTAGCTCACGTTGGCCGTGACACATTGCTCCGTTGTCTGATCTCTGGACTGAACATTGCACTACATCGCACTACCACACTGGTTTAAATATCTTATTTCTTTAAATACTTTATTTAAATAATATTTTACATTTTAAAAATTCTTGACTATTGTTTATTTTAAGTTTGTTACATTTTTGATTATTTATCTTGTGTTGATCGCCGATTGTTTATTGTTTATTTATGTCTGTTAATTGTGATTAATTTTTTAATTGCTTGGTTGCACCGTGGGACCAAGAGAGAGGACTGTAATTTCATCTGTGTTGTATGTCATGCATGTAACACACTTGACAATAAAGTGACTTTAACTGCATTTGCCTGTGATGCTGCTGCTGCTGCTGCCTTGCACCCTCTCGTACGTCAGCTCTTGAGTCGGCTAACTTCATGTTATTTTGCAGTTCCCAGCGCTCCACCTTCCAACGTGACCATAGAAGTTCTCAATTCAAAGGTGGGATTCGTTGCTTCCGTCAACGATGCTCCTTGTGTATAACCGTCGACGTCACCCCTGTGAAGGCATTTCCGTGTTTGTGTATTGAAACGTAGCTGACCTCCTTTTGGAAATATCGCAGCTTATTTAACTCGCCGCGTATAACTCTTTTGACGTCCATCCCAATCGCATAGTCCATTTGCCAATTGCTGTGCATCGCAGCACCGCAGCCTTTACCACTTTCATTACCTTGGTCGGTCGGCGCTATTAATTATATTTTTTTCTCTCTCCCGTCTTTGAGTCATGTCGTGGTCGCGTGCCGTTCACCGCCCTTTGTGGACGTGTTAACAGTGCTCTTTTGATTCCACCCCTTGTTGAATGTAGACTATTATAGTGCGCTGGCTTCCTCCACCGCAAGGGACGCAGAACGGGCCCATAACCGGCTACAAAATCCGTCACAAGAAGGGCTTCCGGCGCGGAGAAACGGAAAACACAGAGGGAAACCAACTCTGGCATCAGCTTTCAGGTGTGCTCTAGGGCCGCTCGCTGGTCTCACCACTCTTATTAAGCCACTGGGAATGAATCCAGATTAAAATGCAAAGCTAAAAAAAAAACTCAACGTATGAGCGTGATTAATGGGAAGAGGGTGGAGTGTGGTGGTGCAGTGGCTCATGCACCGTGCTCTGAATCTAGTGACCTGGGTCCAGTGTATGTCCTGTATGTTGAACTTATTTCCCACCATACGTAGACAATCGCGCTAATCGGAGGTGTGGGGGAAGGATAACGAACTAAATACAAAAAGCAGTTCTAAACAAATTAGTTTTCAATCTACAATGCGTGGCCACGGCTGACATCGGCGATTAGTCGTATCTGAACTGGTGTTTGGCGACTCCCTTCACCAAGTGGCACAAGCCAGCGTGGTGACGTGTGGTGAATAACCCATGCTCTATTGGGATTCCTTTATTCAGAGAGTGGATTGACAGAGGGGCTGTACGTTTAAATAATGTTACAAGAACGCGTAATGTTATAAATTTTCGGTCAAGGCAAATGCTCGCCCAGCTCCACCAAGCACTCGTGCTGCGCCTATCTCCTGTGGGATCTCAGAGCTGTGTTGGTTGAAATTCTACGATCCCATGGTGAGGGCCGGTCCCTTATAAGACAATTACCGTTGACTTCCAAATAAGTGGTGTGCGTTTTATCTACCCATGATAGATACTGAGTTTACGCGACAGTCAACTTTGCATTCGCCTGTTTAGTTTTCTGCCAGAGCACCACAAAGAATACATGAAAATTGATGCCGATATCGTTGTATATACATGAGTAATGTCACGTGTGTTATAACTTATTATAGAATTAATACTTGGTTCAATTGTGTTCTAACGTTCATCCGAGGGTCAAAGCCGAACGTACAGCGATTGTGGTGGGTAAATATATTTTAAGTTGGAACGAAGGCATTGCCTGTCACCGAAGTGGCTGGAGCAGCACCTCATTTACAGCCACTGCTGGGCAAGTTGATGCATCTCTCTCCCTGCCTGTCTAGGTCTTGAAAAGGGCTCGGAGTACAGCTTCAGGGTGGCAGCAATGAACATTAATGGGACGGGTCCGTCCTCTGAATGGGTTTCGGCGGAGACCTTTGAAGACGACTTGGATGGTGAGTCACACTTTCACGCCTATGCAGCCCTGGCGGATGCCGGATTCGCGGGTGTTTGTGGGTAAAGTGCGGCGGACGACTGCGGGGGGTGGCGCCGGTCGCAGCCGCGTCGCCAAGAATAATAAAGGGCAGCAGGACGGTATTCTTAAGCAACGGATGCGAAGCGCGTGAATCTCCCGCGTGTGTGTGTATATATCGGGATGGCTTCATCCTTCATCTTCTGTCACCTGGACGAGGGGGGAGGAGGTGGGACCTAAGTAATATTCCCTTTTGGGTTGAGCTGCAGCATCCTCGCCGTTTTGATTTCTCATTACTTACTAAGCGCTCCACCGAGCGCGACGTTACCGACACCCACGTGGACTTACCTCTGTGGGGGTTGCGTGTAATTGTTGCCGAAAGTGAGATCATACTTAGAAGAGGCATAGTCACGGGCATCAATTCTATGTAACATTTCGAATTAAGCATTACCTCAATGTGACATGTACACTGTAATCTATCGCATCGCCGCTAATGGATTGTGAAATCTGTAAGGGGTTTACTCATTTTTTTATTTTTATTTTTTTTTTTTTTATTATTATTTTTATATCTACGTGACTTTACCGAAATAACTAAAGAATATGGGTCTACTCACTATTGTAATCGTCGACAATTTTTGCCTTTGGTGTTTAACGGGGGGATATACGGTTTGCTTGGGGAGCTCGGCTGCTGCCGACTTTCCTTTTGTGCGCCCCGCGGTAAACGGTTAACACATTAAACTGTAAAAAAAGAAGTCTTGAGTCATGGCCCCCTGGGTCCACGGGGATCATTTGGGGCTCCACAAAAGCCTGAAAGGGGTCTGCTGAGTGTCAAGGGGTTTGCAAGGACACAGGGGAGGCGTCTGTGATTGAGTCTTAGAAACCAGCGAAGCCCGTTCCTCTCTGCCACGTGTCACCCCCCCCCCCCCTTCACCACACGTGCCTGGGTAGACGCCTTCATAGCGTCCACAAGAGTGGTGCTGCTGCTCGTCTGTCATACGGCACTCTGGAAGGAGGGTTGGTGCGTCGCGCAGGGATTATCGTGTGCTGTGAAAAGTCAGATCTCCTACGCTTTGAGGTGGCCAGGAGGGGACATGCCAGTTCTTGTTTTTCTGGTGTGCCCCCGGGCTGCGGAATTCACTTCCAATGGACAATCAAACGATTCGCTCAACTCCTCTCGGTTTATTCAAATCCCACCTTAAGAAGCACTTCTTTTTTTAAGGGAGTTTTTGTTTATATCTCGTGAATAATTTGTTATGGAGATGGATTTGATTGGTGCACATCTGCACTCATTTTTTAATCCTTACAACCATGCAAATCTTTCGGTCGTATTTTAACCCACTTCCCGTGATCCAATCGAGCTGACATTTTGCACACAGACTCGTTGTGCGTGACAATTTATTTTCGTGAAAATGTTTTTTCCGTAACTTTACACTTTTTAAGAAAAAAATATATATTTAATTACCAATTGCTTAATGGTGGCAGGCAATCATCTGACCCATAGGTGGCAGCCATCTCAAGCCAGAGGACGAGAGGACTCTAGCCGCCACGCATATAAAGGATTTATAGTGAAAAACTTTGTTTTTACGGGTTAATTTTTTTTTTGCTGTGTAGAGTGCCTTGTGACCTCCAGGTGAAAGGTGCTTCAGAAGCAGTAATTATTATTACCGAAGAAAAATCCACATTACCCATCTGTGTGGACTTTTGAGTGGGATTCTCGTGAATGGTTTTCTCCAGGGTCTCCGGCTGCATTGAAAATATGCAAAATAATTTAACAACAATAAAAAATATATATATTTACAATGCAGGACCCTCCTAAATGAATCTCATCTTACCTGCATAACTTAATAGCTCATGTTACAAATATATGTATTAAAATTTCAATGCAGATCAGGAGATTTGGAATCATTAGGCCCAATATAAAATGTATTGAACTTCGGTCATAAATAGAGAGATAGATTATATTTATTTCAGCGGGAAGGGCCCAATGAGCTGCTAGCCCCTGATTCATGGCCCTCCTGTAACAGTACAGGTGTTGTATAGTACATAACTAAGTTACGATCGTGGACGCAGGAGAGATTCACAAAAGGTTCATTCTGTGAATGAAGTAAACCTCTCCTTTGCATTGTTGCTTGACTGTTAGCCACTTGGCAGGTTCACCAATTTCAAACATGCTTATGGTAGCGACAAGAATGTTGTCATAAAACTGCTATGTGGCTGAACCCATCCCCCCCCCCCCTCCCTCCCAATATGCACATGGATTGTTACAATGATTGTGAAATGTTTGAGTGAGGTTGATGCCCAATTTGTGGAAGCTCTGCATGACATTCTCTCCTCTCTCTCTGCGGCGAGTTGTTTGGCTTCACGGCGTTGCCCTCTCCTCTGCCCCACCGCCGCTCACCGCCGCTCACCGCCGTTGTTTTTTATTTTTGCGCAGAATCGCGCGTGCCCGACCAGCCCAGCTCGCTGCACGTTCGGCCACTCACCACCAGCATCGTGGTGAGCTGGACGCCTCCGGCCAGCCACGGCGTCATGGTGCGGGGTTACCTCATCGGCTACGGTGTAGGAAGCCCCTACGCAGAGACCATCCGCGTCGACACCAAGCAGCGCTACTACGCCATCGACAACCTCGGTGGGTTACGACGGGAGTCGCGGTCGCTGGCAGAAGGGGAGGAAGTGATGGTGCGGTGGCATCACCACACTCATGCCGTGACGACATAGGTAGAGGTTTGACCTTGATGGCTAACCTTGATGACGTGATGCCAAGAGGACAATTGAAATAAGTTGAGGCAAAGACAGAATAATAAGGTAAATAAGGTTGACAAATCTTGGAAAATCTAAATATGTTATCTTAAATAGAAATTCACTCTTGTCATAGCACTGTGGAATTTCCATCACTGGCTCAGAGCCACTAGCAGGGATGAGCGCTTCACTGAGGAGAAAGTTTGTTGTGTTTTAATGGCGAGCAATTGAAGTAACGCCAGACGTAGCTGTCTGGTTGTCATCTCTCAGGACTGTTCCATGATAAAATGTAATACTGCCGGCAGGGGGAATATTCCATCAAAGATATTTCACCTCCACGGCCTTGTTAACACCATTTCAATCAAGCGAATGCTCGTCTTTCTCTACAAGAAATGAGAACATGTTCACGACTGCACTGGCTTTACCACTTCCCTTACCCTATAAAGTGATTTATTTATTGATTTTATTTACTAGTTTTTGTTGCCCTCATTCTTCATACCACGAAATATTTATTTACAAGAGAATGCGGTTCTGGTCTTCTATTTGTATTAATTTCGTACTTATTAATGCCATATCTGTAGTATATTAACCTATATACAGTAAAGCCTTGGATTGCGAGTAACTTGGTCTGCGAGTGTTTTTAAAGACGAGCAATTTTTTTAATAAATATTAATTTGATAAACGAGCGAGGTCTTGCAATACGAGTGGTACGTGTATACGCTGTGTCTGCCGAGCGTCACGTGATCACAACTGATATACGAGTGCTTTGGATTACAAACACGCTTCCGGAACGAATTATGCTCGCAATCAAAGGGTTTAACTGTATATTAATTTCTACCTATTAATGTCCATTTCTGTAGTATATTAACCTATGAAGAAAATGCAACTTAAAATAAAATGCTATTTGGAGTCCTCACTGTTTCGTGATAAATTACCCCGAGCCAGTGAGCGTGCCCTGTACTTTTTGTGGGTTTTAGTTTTTATAACTTTAAACTTTACACTTCACAGGTTTCTACGATTCTGCTGCATAACGCTTGGTTTTGCTACGTTTCGCTCCGCATGCCGGGAGCTTTTTCCGGAATGTATTGTTTGTATGTTTGTATATTGAACTTCTTTGACACCGTACGTAGCCAACCAAGCTAAACGGAGGTCGGAGGTGTGGGGCAGTTGGAAGGACAACAAACTAACGCACAAAAAGGTTCCAACTGCCGAAACGTTTCTTGAAGATGTTCCGAGCGCGTAGAGCGAAACGTTAAACGTCGTGCTGAACGAAAACACACGTCAGGATGTTCCAAATGTGATTGATTTTGTTGATTGCCTCTCAGTTGAACACGTTTAGGAGGCTTTCGCGACCAAGATCATCCATAATACTGTTTTTTTTTTGGGTTAGATCGCGTAAAAATATAAATGTGTCGTTAACTGTGATTAAAAAAAAAGCTTTTTATGGATTGATTGTCTGTGTTGACGGTATGTCCTATCTAGATATGAAGTTTTCGTGACTGCAGGGATCCATACTCTTTGGTTCTTTCAGTAAAGTCACGTAGGTATCAAATAAAATAAATTAAATCACGACGTTTCGATTGCAACACAAGCAATCTCATCAGGTGGGAAAACCACAGCAATAAAATATTGTCATAGTCAAAGTGAAAAGCGTCTTACTGCTGAAGCAGGCGTGTTAAAGTGATAATCTCTGTTGACAGCCCTGACCGAGCGTGGGAACATTCCACATTGCTGTCGTAGAGATTCAGCATCGCCATGTGATGACAATGCAGTGGTATTTACTCATCAACCCTCAAGGATGACACAGGATGAGTGGACTTGATTGGAATTTAAACACTGCAACCTTGTGAGTTGCTTGCTATGAGTACACAATGGAGAGATAGAAGGTGAAATGTAAAAAATAACACCCCACAAATTTTACTTTAAGATCAGCAACATGATTCTCTAACGATGATACTAATCATTGAAACTATATTTTTAAAAAAATATATAAGGTTGTACACCTGGAATATAATTGGAATGGGTATTATTCATGCCAGTCGTCGACTGAACCAGATTTAGAAAACAGTAGGTGGTTACAAATATAATTGCGTGCAAAAATAATATCTGGAATTTGAAACAATCACAGCTACAGGAGAGAGAGACGAGAATCATTGCTAAAAGGTAGCGTTTGTTTTTTTCTCCCGAAGTTGTTTAATAAAAATACTTAAATAGTTAAAAAAACCTCATTTATCGTTAGTTACTTATCTACCTCGAAGAGGCCATCCTGAGTGGAATCACCTTAAACTTCCTCGGTTAAATTTTGATTTAAAGCTTTCGTGACTGCAGGGATTCATATTCTTGGTTCTTTCGGTAAAGTCACGCAGAAGAGAAATAATAAAATAACATCACCTGATGATGATTGCTTGTGTTGCAGTCGAAACGTGGTGAGAATTTGTATTGTTTTGTATTATATTATTTTATTATTTCTCTTCTGCGTGACTTTACCGAAAGAACCAAGAATATTAATTTCTTGGTTCAGTTCTGTGCCAAGGGAGAGATGCAATGACATTTACGTTCGAGACGAGTGACTTGGCATGTTGTTCATTTTCAGATGGCGCACGCGATATTGTAGCCTGCATGTAAATGTGGCCTCGGATTTTGTTCAAATCCACGTCGCGTTCGCTGAATGCAAATGAAGGTTCACGTGTCACTTATAGGACTTGACGTGTCTGATGGTATCGTAGGCGCACCAGCCCAACGCAAACCCATCAGGCCAGGTGTTACGCCACATCCCATTTGTTTTGCCCGCTTTAAGCGTGCGCCAATTCGAAGTGGAGGAGCGCACAAACTCCGAGCGCAACTTGGAACACAATAGGTTCTTGTGCGCCATGCACGTCTGTCAAGAACGATAGACGCGATGGCAGATGCCATTCGATTTATTCATTGAAGTTTTCATTTGCCCAATGCTTGGAGCGTTGCTTGTAAAAAATTGCTTGCCCCCCTGACTTACGATATTACACCGTGTAATGTCATTCTTACTTAAAAAGACTGGCAGAGTACCTACGGTCAATGAAGGTTTTTTTTTTACATCCACCGTACAATACATTTCTTGCCGCGTATATTTCATGTTGGAGTATTCCTGTACAGCCATTGTTAGGCTTAGTCTCTTACGCTCACTTGAATATAGTCCACTGTGTCATGAAGACAGATCTTTGTGTTTTGCATGGGTATGCACGTACGTTTGTGTGTGTGCACGTGTGTCTGTGCATGGGGAGCGGTCATGTAATGGTTGATGTACTGCGCTACTAACCCAGCAAGTTCAATTCCCACTCATGGCCAGCATCAGTGAAAAATACCTGAACTGCTCCTGAACATCCCCTAGGACCTAGGTCAACTCAACCTCAAATGAGTGTCTACTACAGTCTGTAAACATCAGCTCTGGGGAAACAGAAGCAGCCGAGTGTGGTGCTGGCCACCCACCACCCTCTCCCGTGTGTCATGCCAACCTTCGTAGTCTTTAGCTAACAGCACTTGCCCCAACAGCCTGAAAAGGTTATGGGGGGGTGGGGTCTTTGTCTGCGTGTGAGCGAGAGAGATGGAGTAGTGGCACAGTGGCTGGCACACCGCGCTAAGATTTGGACAGCCGGGATTCCATTACCGTCCACGCACAAATGTGCCTCCCCTCGTGCTCAGTTGCAGCCTTACGTGTGCGTCCCTTACTACCCGGCTCCGTGCGCCAGCATCGGCAGGATTGTACTTCTATAGCCAAGACGTTCTTCCCCGCCCCCCCCCACACCCCCTTCGGTCAGAACGTGGTACGCTTCGCGAAAAAAATAGTTTGGCAAATCTTCTTGGTTCTTTCGGTAAAGTCAAGTAGAAGGGAAATAATAAAATAATACAAATAAAACATAACAAAATAAATGTTTAACTTTTATTATTTTATTATTTCCCTTCTACGTGACTTTACCGAAAGAACCAAGAAGATGAATCCCTGCAGTCACGAAAGCTTTAAATCGAAATGTTTGGCAAATATTTGCGCTACACCTCGGCGATGGTGCGCCGATGCTGTCAGGCCGGATCTCGGGAGGATCGGCTGCGTCATCCGGCTGCGTAGCAGCTGCAGGGAGGTCTGCCAGGAGGTGGGGAACTAATAGGTTTGGCGGCGCTGCGCGGTGCCGTGTTCTCCAACAACGGCTTTGGCCGCGATGACGCCTCGGGTCTTGACGTCAATGACGATCGATCGCTTTTTTTTTTCTGAATCTTAAAACCCTTCCCGTTGCTCTACGTTTGCAGAACCAAATCACCAGTACGTCATCTCTCTGCGGGCTTTTAACCAAATGGGGCAGGGCGTGCCGCTGTACGAGAGCGCGACCACTCGTGCCGTCACAGGTGAGCGCCGCCGCCGCCGTTGTTGGCAGTGTGTCGGCCCACGCGATGTTTACCCCCTGGCGAGCGAATGCCAAATTTTCGAGGAGAATTATGAGCTGGAGGATCCCGTTTTCAAAAGCACGCTAATGATTCGCTTTGCATCATTGACATTTGCTGCAGGAAATGGTATTAAATAGTTGCAGGGGTTGGTTTGTTTTGATCCAGAAATTTCTACGTGTAATTGCAGTTTTAATAAAATGTCGGAATGGTATTAGTTTTAATCATCGTAAAATAACGTCTCTTAGTGAAATGTCAGATTTGCAGTGGTCTTTTGCACAGTTTTTTGGTCATGCGGAATAATTAATTTTGACCTTTTGCATCAATTGTATGTGGCGGGGGAGGGGTATAACATGTACACTCTTTCAAACGACTAATGATTTCTCTGCTTCTTGTTTCTTCTCATTGTTCTCATGAACCATCACATTTCAAACCCCCCCATCCCCGTTCTTTTTTAAAACATCGTATTTATTTACGTTATTTGCATTCGTGCCGTTTAACTCTCTCCATGAATTCCACACGTGTTTTGTTTATTTCATGTTTCGTTGCGTTTCACATGGTGTGACTTTGGGTTTGATTTAAATCACTCACACGCAGACCCTGAAGATCCTGCGGAGGATGACCTGTTTGACCTTTTCGTGGACCCTTTCACGGCAGTCCCAGATCTCCCCACTCCCATGCTGCCCCCCGTGGGGGTTCAGGCCTTCGTCATCTCCCACGACACCATCAGGGTCACGTGGGCAGACAACACTCTGGCCAAGAACCAGCGCATCCCAGACGCGCGCCACTACACCATCCGTTGGAAGACATACTTCTCCACCACAGCCAAATACAAGGTGCCTCCCCGCCCCCACCTCCCTCCCTCCCTCCTTCCACAGAGATGTCATATTTGCATCATTGCCAGGGAAAAATACACGTGGCTTAAAATGGGTTTCTCCGCCACCACTTTCATTAACTGTCCAATACAATAGATGTTAAATTTCGATTTAAAGCTTTCGTGACTGCAGGGATCCATCTTCTTGGTTCTTTCGGTAAAGTCACGTAGAAGGGAAGTAATACAATAATAAAAATAAAACATAATAAAAAAACGTCGTGAGAATGATTTTATTATGTTTTATTTTTATTATTTTATTACTTCCTTCTACGTGACTTTACCGAAAGAACGAAGAAGACAATAGATGTTGCTTTTTATATAGGGCTGCGTGTACAGAAAGTCCCAGATTTTCTGACGGAATTATAATGCAGGGGCAGGAGGAAGAGGCAGTGGCAGTCTTACACAGTGGCCGACCTCTCCGCCATGGGAATGTGGAAACCCCACCACTTAATCGTGGTTGCCATGGAAGATAAGAAAGGCTGTTGGCGCTATTACGTTCCTGCCAAATCTCGCACAACATTCATTGTGCTCAGAGTCTATCGAGCAGTAGCTACTCGTAGCATTTTTTTCAATATTTATTTAGTTGTAATTTACTCAAATCAAAAACGTATCTGAATTGGCGGACATAAAATGATGAACTTAGCATCGTCAACCAAGCCCAGAGTTGTGGTAGCAGTTGCCCCAGGAGTCAATATTGCCTGAATGGAGAATCGTTACCACTTTTGTACGTGTATGTGGTTGTTTAATGTGTAATATGTGTTCCATTCTGTGTATGCTATTGTGCATTAGTTCGTTGAATCACTGATGCGTTGACAATTTTAAGTCTGGATACTTTAAAAGTTTCAAGATTTATCAAATGAAGTGCACTATTTTTAAGGACTTTTAAATGAGCCTGAGTCTCATAATTATACGAGGATGTGCCATCAGAAAATGAGCTCCTGGGGTTGTAATTTAAGAAAAAGAATGCATAATCTTCCCCCAATTTCATTTAAATGTATGTAAATTTAGTTGTAAATTATTCATGCATTCAACTTGCATAATCCACAGTTTCCACAAAAGCCAAAACTCTATACATTTGGTCCTTCACAATTATACGATGCCCGGGGCTCAAACGAAGTCATAGGAATACATTTAATAACATTAATTCAGTACTTGTATATGTACAAAAATATAGGAATGGGGTGGAAGGGGGTGGGTGGGTGGGGGGTGGAGAGGGCAGGACAACGCTACTTTAGATTTCTTTCTTTGGCGCATGCTGAAGCGTGTTCACACATAAATCATGGATGCCATCTGACGCGTTGGGGGGGGGGGGGGGTGCTTCGTGTGCGATGTGCGTACGCCTAGCATCGTTTGCGAGTTTTCTGCGACTCATGGCGAGGGGGGCGGTCCCCTTGGCATTTTTTTGTTTGCTTTTAAACACGTTTTCAATTACTGCACCTCGATTATTTAATCTCCATTGCTCGCCCAGTGGCTTTCGAAACGGGTAATAACACATGCAGAATGCCAGGGCGCTTGGGAAATCTTTTGCTCGAATAGATTCAACGCCCTTCCATCAAAGTCAAGAGTTGTCCCCGTGCTCAAACAAGCGTTTAATTTGCCGGACTTATAGTCTTGGTAGAAATTTCATATTCGTTCGCTTCTCAGTCCGCTTGTCCTGGTGATGGTCACGGTGGCAGCATGTTGAGTAGGGTGGCCCACTATACACTACACTATACACTACTACACTATACACTACACTATACACTACAACTATACACTACTACACTATACACTACACTATACACTACATTATACACTACACTATACACTACAACTATACACTACACTATACACTACACTATACACTACACTATACACTACAACTATACACTACACTATACACTACACTATACACTACAACTATACACTACACTATACACTACACTATACACTACTATACACTACACTATACACTACAACTATACACTACACTATACACTACACTATACACTACAACTATACACTACACTATACACTACAACTATACACTACACTATACACTACACTATACACTACACTATACACTACAACTATACACTACACTATACACTACACTATACACTACAACTATACACTACACTATACACTACACTATACACTACAACTATACACTACACTATACACTACAATATTGTACACCGACTCTAGCTCTTCCTGGGTAATTCCCAGACGTTCCCAGGACAGCCGAGCGACAGTCCCGCCACCGTGTCCTGGGCCGGCCCCGGGGTCTTCGCCCAGTTTCATATTTGTGTGATATATCAATATGACTCTTGATGTCCTCATTCTATACTTTTTTTACTTACAAATTTCGACCCTGGAGGAATGGTGGGACTGTGAGTCACCGTGGCACCTGGCTGTATCTGAATGCTAGTCATATTCTATCTGAATACTTATCATGTCACTTATCGTAATACTTATCATAATATTGGAATGATTGGTTTGGAGAAGTGGGAGCCACAGTGGTTAACAGCACTGTGCTATAGACCCAACAACCCGAATTCGATACCTGGCCATGGCTAACATCCCTGGTGAATTATATTACTGGACATTTTGGAGCATTGGACATCTTCAAAGCTCATCGGATTCCTCCAGTATAAATCAAGATTATTACTATTATGGTATCTACACTGGTCCTGCCTCCATCACCACCTTCACCAACCCACACTGATTGGCATGGTGAAGTACGGTCGAACAACCACCACAACCCACGTGGCGTGGAAGGCCTTCATTCAGCCGTTGATAGAAAGCAATTGCTGAGAATTATTATTAATGATCATTGGGGATGATTCCTTGCAATCCAGAGGTTGCCTGCTCGATCACAGATAGTTGATCGGCAGGTCACACATGATGGGGTAAAGTGTGGGAGCTCCCACACCTCTTACAAGATGTCTGGCCAGGGTGAAAGAGTAGGCCAAAATATCCTCAACAGGGGGCGGGGGGGGCTTTTTTGAGCCCCATCTCGCTATGGCCCATCCATCAGCGATGGCACCCACAAACAGTTGCAGGTTCTGCGTATTTACCTTTCTCTATAATAGAGGTTTTTTTGGGGGGGTTAGATCGCGTAACTCTAAATGTGTCATTAAACCTATTTATGTTTACGCGATCTAACCTAAAAACGTCTATTATGCAATATATTGATCGCGAAAGCATATGACTACTACGTGTTAAACTTACTACTGCTACATTAAACTTACTTCTACGTTAAGCTTACTACTACGTTAAACATACTACTACTTGTTAAACTTACCTCTGTTAAACTTCTTTACCTTGATAATTGGTTCTTTACCCTTCTATCTGGCAACAAAACTGACGCCTTTTTGCAAGGAGTCATGTTTGCATTGACCGCAATACCTGCAGTCATAAATACAAACAAAAGACATAACTCTGATAATGTGCACTGTCCTTGAAGTTGATTGGTCCACACCCGAGACAGCTTTCCTTCGAGCCTAGTCTCATATGGGTTGGACCAGATGATGCCAAAAGGCGCACAACTCAAGGACAATGCACCATCAGAGTATGAGAGCTCGGGGCAAGCATCTACACTATGGGGACCTCATTTGCCAGTAAAAATATGATAATTGGTTCTTTACCCTTCTATCTGGCAACAAAACTGACACCTTTTTGCAAGGAGTCATGTTTGCATAGACCGCAATACCTGCAGTCATAAATACAAACAAAAGACATAACTCTGATAATGTGCACTGTCCTTGAAGTTGATTGGTCCACACCCGAGACAGCTTTCCTTCGAGCCTAGTCTCATATGGGTTGGACCAGATGACGCCAAAAGGCGCACAACTCAAGGACAATGCACCATCAGAGTATGAGAGCTCGGGGCAAGCATCTACACTATGGGGACCTCATTTGCCAGTAAAAATATGATAATTGGTTCTTTACCCTTCTATCTGTTTTGTTGCCAGATAGAAGGGTAAAGAACCAATTATCATATTTTTACTGGCAAATGAGGTCCCCATAGTGTTCTTTACCTTCGTTAAACTTACCTTCGTCTGTTTTTGAGCTGATCGTCATTGTCGCCTGATCGCGCAGACGGCGAACTCCACGACATTCACGTACCTGGTGAGCAGCCTCAAGCCCAGCACGCTGTACGAGTTCTCCGTCATGGTCACCAAGGGACGCCGCTCCAGCACCTGGAGCATGACGGCACAGGGCACCACAATGGAGGCGGGTACGTGTCGAAGCTTGCGCTCCTCCAACTGCGTCCTCCGTGCATACGTCCGTCAACGGTGGCGAGATGTTAACTACCTCGCCTGGTATGCAGGAGGTCGTGGGTTCGATCCCGACCCTGACGCCTGCTGCTGTATATTTGGAGTTTGCATGTCTCTCTCCCCATGGTCGCGTGGATTTTTCTCTGGGTCCTCTGGCATTTCCCTCGACATTTAGAATCAATGTGCGTTTAGAGTATTTGGCTGCTGTGAATGTCCACGTGATAAGCCACTTTGTTGAGCTATCATTTGTGATTGCCAGGTCGCTTCTGACAAAGAGCTACATAGTTCAGTGGGCCCTACCTGGTAAAATAAATAAAATTTCTAGTTTTAACTTAGGTCAAAATACCAGTCACAGCCTGCAATGTGCGAGGAGGCCTGAGTACAGCGGCGGTTTTGATGGATTGATCAATGGACGTAACGCATCCCTGTCCATCTATCAAGGCGTGTGGATGTAGCCTGTTGAGAACGAGAGACACTGGGGAAAAGAAATTCCAACAAAAAAAATCAAATTTTACCAGCAGTGGCTCTCAAGGACACGGAGTTTTAAAGTCGTGGCGGCGTGTGTTGCTGAGAGTCCTTTTCTATGAACCTTGCCGATTGGGTTTGTGCTCATTTTACGCTTGTCGTGTTCAGCCGCAGTGCAGTGCACGTGTTTCCATTGCGCAGAGAGGGAGTCTGTCACGTAACTCTGTGTTCATGCAGAACACTGCCACACAACTGCAGAGTACATTGGGGATTCATAGAGCATCTTAATGTAATTGCACCGTGCTAATGAGAGCTCTAGAGCGGCTGTTGGGTGACAGATGCTGTGTGTGAGTGTGTTTTGCGGAGTGGCGTCGTTATCTTTAGCACTACTGCATTACAACAACCCAAGTTTAATTACTATATACGCTTACCATTGGTGAACGCTATTTGAAACTGATGTAGGTCTCTCTTTAGATTGATTAGGCCTGAAATGAATAACTGATATGTCATCGCCAATTCCTTTAATGCCACTGCCATCGTCATCAGATCTGATCAATCCACTCCAGAATCAAGGCCTCCCGAACCCATTGCCATCTTTTATGGTATCGCGATCCAACATTTCATCTAGCTCCTGAATTCCATCACTCCATCTCCCCGGCGGTCTTCCTCTAGCATTCCGTCCCTTGGCCGCCATTCATTTCTCTTGATCTTCTCACATCATCCCTTCTAATAACGTGCCCTGCCCAAGCCCACTTGCACGTTGACCCTTTCCCGTTCCGAAACGTCTGCAAGTTGCAGGGTGGGTGTCCCGTTCACTTCTGAATCTCGGAATGAGCAAGCGGTATAGCGGAACTTTTATTCAGAGAGGCGTAGCGCCGTTGTTTTTAAAGACATTATGCTCACCGCAGAGAACTGTAGCAACACGACCGCACTCTACGGTAGCTGGCGCCAAACTGTGCCACACGCCCTCCCGCATGGACATGTGGAAGCCCCGGTTATTTTATTTAAGTTTTTCTACTAGTTTCGCTGCGTACATGTACGTCATCAGAACGGGAACATGTTAATAGGTTGTCGCTAGCAGCATTTGCACTGACAGTCTGTATTGTAAAGCGGCATGTTCGCCGTAGCCGTGTGTATTTTTTTCTCCGGGTCCTCCGGTTTTTCCCTCCACATTTTGAATCAACGTGCATTTATATTATTTGGCTGCCATACATTTTCACGCGATGATCAGCCACTTCGTTGAGCTATCATTTGTGGCCTGGTTGCTTCTGAAAAAAAGCGATGTAGCTCAGGCGGGCCCTACCTGGTAAAATCCCCAAAAAAAGTTAAACTAAAATATGTGCCAGGGGAGTTATTAATTTCACATCGAGACGCCTGTTATTCTGGATTTCGTTTGGGATATTGCTTAATTAAAAGGACACCGTCAAGACAACATTAAACTGGGCAAAGTGATTGCAGTGCTCTTGGTGGGAAATAAATAAAATGTCAGGTGTGAAAGGAAAACATTCGTCATTTGATTCACAGCCTTTCGCGTTGATGACTTCAAAATTGAAACCCATAATTTATAAACTTCCCCGTGGAAGGCGATTGTCTCCGCTCGTGTAATGTATTGAGAATGGCAGATCTCTCTGGGCAGCGTTATGGAAACTTAAACTTAATAATACAATCAGGAACTGAGTGACATGGAGATATATAGTGAGGTGGGATTTTTTTCTCTTCCCGCTCATGAATAAATTCAATGGTAATTTTTTTCATCTCATTAAAACAAACAAACAAAAACTGTCTTTTAATGGGATATTTATAATAAATGGTTTTGGTTTTTGTTGATACACAGAAATGGATACTTATATAAATTCCCATTCTCGTAGCCCTTCAGCCTTTTACGAACGGTTGAGGTCAGTGCTCTTGGCAATCAACTACTAAGGCTGGCACGGCACGCTCGTGGTAGTGTGACCAGCCCCATGCCTCGGTCAACTTTTGTCTCCTCATTGCTGATGCTTACACCAAATTTAAGGCTGAGTTGACCTCGTAGAAGGCTCAGTACAGGATCATATACCGCTTTCAACTGATATGTATCGGTTTAATAAATTGCAGCACGAACACAACAACAGCTGCTGCCATTCACCTGTAAGTGGGGACAATGTCACCACAGTGCATGTGCCAGGCTAGGTGCACTTTGAGGCCACATGCAACATACAGATTGTTTTGTAAGTTGTTAGATGTTTCAATTGGTTCACACACCGACCCGCTTTATTTTTATTCCTCTTCTTCCTGAAGCTGTCTCCAAAGGAGAGAGGGGAGTGAAGTCACTTTGACCATCTGATTTTCTAAGCTTATTTTCATCGAACAGACGTATACATGTTTGCACTTGATGTTACTCTGTGGACCGTGACAAAAATAACGGAGGCACTCACCCTGAACATTCACTGCCTGCTCATGCAACCAACACTGGCACGTTACACACAGACACACACACAAAATTAGCAATGCAGATTGCCCCGAAAGCAGGCGGCTTGCTTAGAAACAGCTCTGAAGACGCCCATAACTGTCGCGGCCCACTTAAGGCACTTTCAGAAATCGAAGGCAGTAGTATAAATCCCCGGACGCGGTACGCAAATTTTTCGTTAATCAATTTCTCTGTTGACCTTTGTTCCCAACACGCATTTCGCAATCGATTTCGACTGATCGCCCGCCCGCGCATTGCAGGCCCGCCGCCGCTTTGCGCAAGTGACTTCAGGAGGTCGCCGATTCTCGCGTCCGCCGTTACACTCGTGTTCACGGCCGCCCGCTCGGTTACTCCTGAGGCAATTGTTATCGGGTTGTTTTCGTGTTTTGGTTTTTACCTAGTTTCAGCCCCACGCAGTTAAAAGCTCATAAAAGCGGAGCGCCGCCTTTAATATGGCTTGTAGCAAGCCATCCCTCGGGTGTTCGTTTGCTGCTTGAGGGGACCCCACCGCTCGCTGAGAGAGCAAATGTGTTGTTGCAAGTGGCACGCATTGTCGCGTTGCTCTTGTCAGATGGTCAAAGGCAGCTAACAGTTCAAATCGGTGCTCGTTGATGTCACCACACCTTTGCAAGAACCTTCTGCATTATGACCGATTTTGCGGTTATATTCTTTGGGTCTTTCGGTAAAGTCACTTAGAACATTTTTTTTTTACCAAAAACTACGACGTTTCGATCGCGGCACAAGCAATCGTCATCCGTTTTTTTCCCTCCTGATGACGATTGCTTGTGTTGCGATCGAAACGTCGTAGTTTTTTTGTAAAAAAAAAAAATGTTCCACGTGACTTTACCAAAAGACCCAAATAATATGAATTCCTGCACCGAAAGCTTTAAGTCAAGATTTTACGTTGCTTCCACATTTAACATCTGACCACCAAAATTTGCGATCACGAGTGTTCCGCCATCTGGCCCCTTGGGCCTCCTTCCCCTTTTGGGTCCTACTTGGTGACGGTCCCTCCTCTATCCTGCACACGTGCATCATCCAATAAAACCTCCTCTCGTATGTATGCTGAACGTCTTTCGTACCGTACGTAGCCAACCGTGCTAATCGTCTGCAATGATTTACTGCAACAATGCTTTTCTGTAACATTATATTGCTTACCTTATCCTGCCTCATCTTCCCATGGAATTCTTGGCGTAACCCAGGCCATACGCTTATTGTAAACGTTCCGATTCCTCTTATATGGCAACACAGGCGTTACACCTGCCTCTAACACTCATCGTTTAATGCTAAAGTTGATATTTAAAATGGTCCCAAAGTGTAGTCTTACCAATGTGAAACCCCACCTTACATAATTTTCCAAGTAGTTTTTTTCAATGCAGATGGCCATTGTGCAGTTCATACCGCCAGTTTATTTATTTGTTTGTTTCAAAATACATTTGTAAGAAGTTGGAATTTAAAGCGCAAAAGGGAAAAACGCGCGCCAGTGTGAGAATAGTCACCACCAAAGCACTGTGCTGCACGAAGCCTTGGAGAAAATAGCAAAAGTAATTGGTTTGTGTTAATTTAAAAACACAGAATGTGTTCCTTCTAAAAAACACATGAGAAACCGATTAATCACAGACCGACTGCTAATTAAAAGTTACTTTCACAAAACTACTCACGGAGCGTAGATTTCATTGTTACAGAATGTTGTGGGCGGCAGTTTATTAGCTTCGTGCCATTTTGCCAGCACAGTTACGTGAATACGCTCACGAGAGTCGGTCTCAACGTAAAGTTTTTTGGCCATGTATGAATTCCCCGAAGCAATTTAGAATGTGACAAGCAGCATGAACACACATTGTTATATTTTCCCTCCATAATGCAATTGCATCTCGAGAGCTGTTCCATCGTGTCTACTTTCAAAGTTAAAGCCATTGTCTGAGGTTACATTTATTTTGTAAATGCGGTCTTACTTCCGTTTTTGATATTAGAGCTGTTATTTTTTTCCCTCATGAAAGCACGTGAACATTTTAAAGTGGTCGTTTTCTTGACAGCCATACTTTGCAAGATGGATGTAGTGAGCAAAGCGGTGTTGCAATGGTCCCCTGTTATGTGCACACTTATGTTGTGATTTCAGCGACTTGCGTGCATTCTGGTGCGTTTAGAAATGGGAGCGGAACGATATGAATCATTGCCCGATTCACAACACGCAGCATTGCAGAATGCCAGGTGGCGGATCGACGAAGCAGCACTTAAGTTGCTTCGTTACGGTACAGCTGCCCTTTTATCTCATCAAAGGACGTGAAACAAATACATTTAAAGACCCACGTGTTGCCTCACAAAGGCGTCGACCCAGGGGGGTGGTCTGGCACAGACGCAAGCTCATTTCCCGGTGTGCGTTTTTCAATGTTTACGCTTTTGCTGCTCTCATTTCAGTGCCTTCGTCCGCTCCAAAGGATCTCACGGTCATCAGCAAAGAGGGAAAACCTCGGACCGTCATCGTGAACTGGCAGCCCCCGGTCGAAGCCAATGGCAAAATCACAGGTAAAGCCACTCCTTCGCGAGGCCTGCGCGCACCGGGTAGCCTTCGCCCGCATGTGTTCGGCGTTAAAGAGGGGATGTGGTCTCGCATCGGATGTGCGCCCCGCATGAGCCGCGCGGCGAGTGACGAACAGGCCGTCGCAGTTTCCTTCACGGTCACGGGGGCTTTACTGTGCTGCGGGCGAGATCGTATTTCGTAGCTCGTTGAACAACAAGTTGCGTGACGCGGACAGAAATGGTGTTTGAAACGAGCGCGTTGCACCTCTGCTGCGCACGCGTGTTCCGCAGGTTTTGTGGGTCTCACGTGAAGTGGATGCTGTGTTTTCCCCCGTGAATTGCTGAACAAAAAGGAGTCGAGTGGCATCCACTTGCCTGTTAGCGTCGTTCTCCTTGAAATGCCCGCCATGTGTCAACGTTCACGCGTTTCTGCGCAGAAGTGAAAGCTTGCACGCAAGATGAACGGTCTCCTAAACATATTTTGAACGTGTTTGTCTTTGGACAGTGCTTATCGACAGCCGTGAACCATAATTACAAGTGAATCAACTTCATTGACTTTTTCGGTAGTACAATATTTGCTAGTCGTTACAGCCGCTTCATTGGCTGTCTTTCCATTGCTGTTAAACATCATTGGATGAAAATACTTCCATATTGTGGAAATTAATATAATATTAGACCACCTAATGCACGCGGGGTGCAGCAGTAGCGCAAATGCCACGACGAATCTGGCGACCTGAGTTGGATTCCCAGCCACAGCTAGCATCAGTGAAAAGCGATATCTGACCTGGTGCAAGGGAGGACCCCCACACTGACTGACCATAATGGAGAAGTATGGTCAAACAACCTCCACGACTGACACGGCATTGGGGAGGCATTCTTCCAGCAGCTGTTTGTCAAAGAGCCGTGCGTTATTACACGTAAATAATATGTATGGCTGTTGCACAAATTTACAATTCTCAGAGTCACAGCCGTTGCAAAACATCAAAATAAATGCAGTCACACGTGTTTTCCAAAGGATATTGGTATTTCACATTAATATAGCTATGGAAAATGTAAATAATAATAATGCTTTCCCGTGGGATATGCGATTTATTGCACGTAGCAAAGCAGAATCATACACGTGATATAAACACATTTGTGTGTATGAACATATCCAATTTGTACGCGACAAAAGCACAGCCGTTGTTGGTGGGGCTTCGTGCCACGGATAGACAGGAAGCCAGTGTGGCAAGCCAGCAGATATATGTCCTTGATGTCCCACGTTGGAAAAGACTTAGCCTCGAGGAGTATTCATTAAAGCACGAACACTCTTACATTTTGCTGGCGGGGGGTGGGGTGGGGCTTAACTCGGACCGGTATATGCTTAGGAGAAATGCGAAACACACGTTGCCTTTTATGAATAATAAAATGCATCGACTTGAATTATATTACTGAGAAAAACTAATTACGATAAATCAATACGGTGTACATACACGTTTGTTTCAAAAGGTTCGTTTGGGTGTGTGTATTTGTGAGTGTTGGGTTCAGTGGTGGCGCAGTGGTTGGTCCACTGCTTTCCCATCGCCCTGACATGGAGTCCATTCTCAACCATGCCCATCTTCAGTTGTAAGAACGATATCAGTATTTGTTACGTACTTACCAAGTGGTAGGCTGCTGAATTTCGATCCCTTTCACCGCATACCAATTTTCATAACGTAAGTTGTGCAATCATAAATCATTTGTATAAAGTAGGTACGATTACTTTCGAAATTTGTAATACCATAAAAAGTGTAAAAAATGCATCTGCCTACTGCTTAAATTGGTAGGTTTGCAAGTATTTAACACGTACTCATTTCAGGCTGCGTTGACGTAGAGGCAAGTGCCCAGTGCAGGCTCAGACAGATAATACTTACTGCTGGTGATGCACATGGTTGAGAATGGAATCCAGATGATACATTGTGCAGCACCGGGAGAACAAATGCATCTGGGCACGATGCTGGCATCACCACCCAACCCCCCCATTCCTTGTGCCATGCCAGGCTTAGTAGGTCGGTGTTCATGGCACTTGCCCCAACGGAATGAAGGGCTTGAACGGAGAGGTGGCATGTTTGTGTTTTGCGTGTTTTGTGTGGGACAGGATATATCATCTACTATACGACAGATGCCACAGCTGAGCTGCATGACTGGGTCGTGGAGCCTGTGGTGGGGGACCGTCTGTCCCACCAAGTGCAGGAGCTCACGCTGGACACGGGATACTACTTCAAGATCCAGGCTCGTAACGCCAAGGGCATGGGCCCGCTCTCCGATGCGGTGTCATTCCGCACGCCCAAGGGTGCGTACCCCACACTCCCTGTGCCATGCATAGCATGAGGATAAGAATTTGTATGAATAGGGCTCTTAAATGCTTCTAGGTGGTGTAACGGTTTGCAAGCCTGAATCGCAAGCCCAGAGGTTGCTGGTTCAATCTTCGCCGGCCATAGCGTTTTAAAAAATTGGGAAAGTTTTTTTTTTTTTAAATCATCCCCCCGCCTCTGTCCACGCAGCAGTGTAAATGTGTGTGGTGGGGTAAAGTGTGGGAACTCCCACCTCTTCCAAGATGCCTGGCCAGCATGGGAGAGTAGAGCAACATGCACTCTAGCGGGCCTCTCTAGAGCTCCCACGAGTGGCGGCCCTTCCGCCTGCGGTGGCGTTAGCAAGCGATTGCAGGGCTGCACCTTTACCTTTTCACATGAAGGCCTCGTTATTACAAAGCCCCTTACCTGGGGGCGCACACCTGCGTGTTCCAGCTATGCAGCATCTAAAGTGGCTGCAGGCGTACGGTGAAACAACTGCATGCGAGATACGAATTTGAAATAGATTCCTCCTCGCGACAGTATTCTGTGCCGTGTGTTGTGAGTGTAAGGACCTATTTTAATTGTTCATGACAACAATGCGTGTGCGTGTTGTTTCATTACTTCAGCATGAGCCCTCTGGCTTCTATCATCACTGATGCACGAGAGAAAGATATCGTGAAGAAAAGAGCATTAAAACCAACAAGTCCCCTAAGCAAAGGCATAATTCCTTTTCTCCACACAATGCTAGCATAGTTCTGTTTTCTCACTTGCCTTTTGTTCTTGGCCAAATAGTAGGAGATATAACCTGAGCTTATTTGTGCTGTTCTCAATCTAATTTGGAACAATGATACCAGGTCTATAGTTTGCACTTTACAATAATGTATTCATTTTATTTATGAGAAAAAAAAAGTCCCATTGATGCATGCACGTAAAGCATGCATGCACACATTTCTTTTTTATAACCTATTCAAAGGGAATATTGAAGGTGTAGGTATTGCCGAGTGGAATTTCACAATGTCTCCTTCATCAAATCTGCAATCGACGGTGCGCGTGTTCATCGGCTGCCTTGGGCTCATGGTGCAAATTAAACATTCTGCAGGACATGGGACAACGACTGTTTACTTCCCACAAAGTGGTAATTGTTTTCTCGGCCCTGGAGGGGTCATGGGCTGAATTAGAATTTGTACTTGCAACCTTCAGATTGTAAGTTTGGTGTTCTCAGCCGCGGCATAACCTGCCCAAACATGGAAGCAAATTGCCGAGCGTAAAACCGATGCACGCGTATTCTCATTTGAAATTATCCTGCGAGCGTAATTTGCCTGACAACGGGACAATTTTTTTGGCCATGGCCGATTTGTATAGTTACCGACTCTTATTCACAGGCCGTGGCAGACCAAACGGAGCGCACACTATTTTGCGTTCGTCCCATCGCGCGTGATTGGTGGCGCTTTCGGCTGAAGTTATGTTCCCGCCTCCGCTTCATCCAGCTTTGCCTTGGGGGCAAAAATAGTGATTTATTGCCCGCGCAGAGAACCAGTGCTTTGGGGGGGAGATAACACTGTATTTCATTCATACATTCCATTCATTTTGGCGGTGCGTTCATTTATTTAGCTGGGATGCGCAGCCGAGATGTGGAATCTCATTTAATATTGTGGCCCCAGTCTGCGTAACAGGGTCACATCCCATTACAGATTAGATGAGCGGGTGCGTTGCGGAAGGTCTGCTGGTTAACCGGGCTTTGTAAAACGAGGCATCGGATAGCTCGCAAATATTTGTAAACGGACGACAGTGGCCACGGTAAATCCAGCGTCCTTAGTGTTTCGACCTTGGTCCAGTGGATTGCTTGCCCGCCGACGAGCTGAAAGCTTCGCCGAAATTTATTTGAGTCTCGCCTGCTCTTTTACACCACGCTCGAAAAGCATTCCAGGCAGCCATTTCCTCTCGACCCCAGAGTGAGAAAATTTATGTGTTCAGGTTTTTTTTTTTAAGCCTTGAAAGGAAGCTGACCAAACACACTTAAACGTAACACCACCTATTTCCAACCATCCCGGATGTACGGCAGACGGCTTGCAAGCAAGAACGAGTTGAACTTCTTTTGAGTGTCAATGGGGGCACATCATCTGCAGAAAGCTTTCTGTTCGCAAATGGTCGATTGTGGGGTATACAACATTCGCTGACAACCAGCTGTGATCATTTAAACGGATCTAACAGCTATGAGTGGCGTAGGTTGTTGGCATGTTCAGTGTCGTAAATGGGTATATGAACGAGTGATTTGTGTTAATTATCCAATGGCTATGCATTGCTACTGCATCTATAATATGTCAGCAGCTGGAAAAGACATCTTCATGGCTCTGGAATGGCTAATGTGGCGAACCTAAGTAACGCAGAGCTGTGATTGGCTTTTGCGGAGGCAAATCATCTCATTTCACCGAATTCATTTCCATGTAAGCTGCTCAATTATAGCTTGTGTGTTTCCAGCCATCAAACATCATCCAGCATAAATACATAATAAATGTTCAGCACATTCAGTTTGAAGGCATTGTTTTGTTTGACGTGCGGAAGTACGTCAAAAAGCATCCTTGCATTCATGCGTTTCAATCAAATGCTGAACCCCCGAGCAAGTCATTAAAACATCTTAATATATAGAGGACTGCAGAGCAATTGTTGGTGCCGGCTCACCGCCTGGGAGCCTTTGCGGCGTGTCTGTTGCCCCTCGTTGATTGTGAGATGCAATTTGCATAACGACACTATCTAAAACTAATAATGAGATAAAAAAAAACATCTACCGTTAGAACGGCACGAAGCTGAATTCTTATTATCGGTTTACATTTCATGAAAACTGCCTCAGTAATGCAGTCCAGGGTGTTGTCTCAAGCTACGAAACATGATTAATGCTGTGGTGCTACTTTACGTTGGGGGAATCTGATGTTGTAATTGCCTGAAAAAAAAACAAGTGTCGATAACAGTGTGCTTACTGAAAAACAGTTAGGAGTTGGGGGAGGGGGGTAAATCTGGACTTTTGTATTTTTATTGCGCAGTTTGGGTTTTATGTTACGCACAATGCTCGTGCAACGCAGAGAGTTTTTGCTGCAGGCCACTTCCCAAAGACACATTGATTTCTTTCAGGACCAACAAAATTCACTCGGTTAGGGAATGAGTAACAACGCTGCTGCTGCCAGACTCGATTCCAAGAGGGAAAACTTGCCATGAAAATTTCAGGAAAGTGCTACTAGATAGGGCATACTTTTATATTCAATAATAGAGCCTATGTACATGTGAAATGCTGTATATACTACAGTTTGAAGGACTGTTTTTCGAATGTTGATTATTTTTCTCCATATGATTGTAATTCCAAGTATGTACGTACAATGAACTTCTTTCGCACCGTACATAGCCGACCGTGCTAATCGGAGGTGCGGGAGGAGGACAACACGCTAAACACAAAAAGCAGTTCCAAAGAATTTAGTTTTCATTTAAAATACACTTGGCTGTGTGGTTCTGGCCACCCACCCCTTCGTGTGCCGTACCGGCCTTCATCGGTGCTCGCTAACAGCACTTGCTCCTACAGTCTGTTCAGGCTATACGGTGGCGGCGAGGGAGTCTTTGTCTTCATGTGCTAGCTGGCTGACACTTCCTTTCGTGGAGCCACACTACTCTGTTTCACTTGTAAACTTTTTTGTGACTTTTCCTTTGTCTAGCGCGGTGTTTGTGTGTCACTCCCTGGGAATTGCCGGGCATTTTCTGGAATGTTTTTGCCTGTGAGGTTGTTGTTGTTCTCTTCATGCATCAGCAAATACTTAAAGTTACATACGTGCATTTTTATGGCTTCCACGTTGTATGTTTTTTTTTTTGCAAAGGCTTCTACCAATGCCAATTATAATACCACCGACAGGCAGTATTCAAACCCGTTTTAAATATTTGTTTGCGACATTTGCAGCTTTGTCGCTCGTGGCTTAATCGTTCTTGTTACCGTTTGACCCACGGGTCATTTTCTCTCTCCCGTACTTGATGAAACTCTGACATAATCCTTAAGTAAACCTCATCACTTACCAAGGCATTACTCATTTAAGAAAACATGAATGCCCTAAGCTGCTTTGTTTGGATTCCTCCAATTTCAAAAGCTCGCGAGTTGCCAGAGTGCAAAATTAATCAGTTTCTCTGGCTAACACTCTTCCTGTTCTTGCCCCTTTTCCCTCCCCTCTGTCTGCTGCTGCTGCTGTCTACTGCTGTCCACCCTTCCTGTTGGCACCAGTTTCCACCACTGCTGCAAAAGGGGCAGTTGGAGAGGGAGGCTCCTGGCCTGGCAACCCCTTTGACAGGGCCAGTTTCAATGGTAACGATGACACATCTGCAGTTTCCCGCAGGAGTAATCGTTTGTGTGTGTGTATGTGTGTGGGTGTATTCAGGGAGTGGTAGTATAGAGGTTAGCGCACTGCGCTATGAACTCGGCGACCCGAGTTCGATTCCCGCTCACGGCCAACACCGGTGACGATTATCTGAACCGGTCCTGGGCCTCCTCCCCTAAGTGGACTCAGCCTCAAATGAGTAGCTGATGCAAGTGTGTAAACATCGCCACTGGGGAGACAAAGGCGGCCGGGCGTGGTGATGGCCACCCACCCCCTCGTGTGCCGTTGCCTGCCTTCAGAGATGCTCGCTAACAGCACTTGCCCCAACAGTCTGTTACAGGCTATATGGGCAGGGGGACCTTTGTCTTCGTGTGTTATACGGGGAATATGTGAGTGTCTGAGACACTGCTATACACCTGACTTCGATTGCAGGTTCTGGGCTTCGCTTAGGTCGACTTGGCCTTACATGATCACCGGGTGCAGTGTGCAAACATCAGCACTGGGGAGACAAAGGTGGTCTTCGACATAAGCTGGCGAACAGCACTTGCCTGAGGCAGCCTGAAAAGGCCGTATCGGGGGGATCTTTTTGTGCGCGTGTGTGGGAGAGAGACTGAACGATGGCGCAGTGACGAGTGTACTGCGCTACAAGTCTGGGATTTTGTTCGTGTTCCTGTATAACACCACGCACGAGTCTAATAAGCATCTAATCAACATGTGGAGCGGTGTGTGAACATCACAACTCTGTGTGCTTGGGGCTCGACCACAGCACTGTGCCAGCCTTACAAGGCCATCACTAACTGCCCTCACCCCAGCAGTACGACCAATGTATGTTTTATTTATGCACATGTACTCATGTGTACATGGATCTATGCGCCTGTGTTCATGTTGGTGTGTATATACGTGTGCGCATCAGCTTCATGAGTGTGTGTTTCAACAGCTATGCATCACAGTTATTGCATTAGGTCAGTCCCATTAATTCCACAGATATGCTTTGTAACGCAAAATAATGTTCTTAACGGGCCTCATTCATTCTTCGTAACTGTCTATATGTGTATATTCTTATCATGGAACATTTTTTAATTGCCAGGAAACTAATATTTCTAACCGCGAAAGAACATTGGGTAATCTTCTTAAAAGAATATGACGAAAGGGTAGTCCTTTTTAGAAAGTATTTCTACCATTTTGGTGCTGTCCAATTTATTCACAATGACATTTCAGTATATGGTTGCCAGCTCGCTGTAGAGCGTGCCACGAACATTGATACAGGCAACACGCAGCATCGCTCACCGCAGTGAAAAGCTGGCTTTACAGGGATTTATATGCAGAGCAAAAGTATATAACACGGCGGAAGTTCGTTTTTCTGAGCAGTCGTAGTTGCAATCCGAAGTTGTTGGGATGGCGCAGGGCTCTCTGAATAGCTGCCGTGACAGCTTGCGATGATCCTCAAAGCATCGAGTCGGGCGGAGACTGTTCTCTGCGAGAGAGAGAGGCCCCTTTGTGGAATGCGGTTGCGTGGGTGATCGGGTGTCCTGCAGACGCCCCGACGGGACAGATCCCGCCTCCGCAGGGCGCCCGCGGCTCCGCGCTGGACAACAACCTCCTCATCATCATCGTCGTGACGGTGGGCGGGGTGACCGTCATCGCCGTCATCGTGCTGGCCGTCGTGTGCACGCGTCGCTCTGCCGCCACACAGAAGAAGTGAGCGCGGGGGGCGAGGGGTGTGCGGGAGTGGGGGGGGGGCATCACCCAGCGTCACTCCGTCGCTTAAATGACCAGCAGCGTCACCACCACTGACCTCCCTCCCCCCGGCCGTTCGCGTAATACGGCCGGTTTGTGCGCCAACCCGAAGCCTGCGCCCGTACCGCTCAAATCGGGCAGATGCTGCCGTGGTGCCAGGATTAGCGCGCTTGACTTGCGATGCAGAGGTCACCGGTTCGATTCAGTCTCTTGCGGCGCGGAATTCGAAAGGATGTCACGAGATTTAATTCACAGCCCGCTTCAGTCCACCCAGCGTTATGAATGGGTCCTCCATGGTGAGTCGGTCGGCACGCCTTGTGTGGTGGGGTGAAGCCTGGTTACCTCCCACCGCTTCCAAGGTGTTGGGCCAGCATGGAAGAGTAGGACAAACACTCCCTCTTGAGGGGCGATTCTAGAGCTCTCTCTAGTGGAGGCCCTTCCACCAGCAGTGGCGTCATGTAATTGTTTGGGCTGCTACTTAACCCTTTCATCAATGTCACACGTATACATTTTTTCAACTGTGTATATTTAGTTTTTTACCCTTCTATCTGGCAACAAAACTGACACCTTTTTTTTGCAAGGAGTCATGTTTGCATAAACCACAATACCTGCAGCCATAATGCAAACAAAAAACCTAACTCTGATAACATATGCACTGTCCTTGAAGTTGATTGGTCTCGGGTGTGGACCAGTTTTTGTTGCCAGATAGAAGGGTAAAAAACCAATAATCATATTTTTTACTGGCAAATGAGGTTCCAATGGTGTGTGTATATTTATACACAAGCAGAGTGATATCATAATTTTTCATTCATTTTAATCAATCAGTGTTGGGCTGTATCATGCTGGATGTGAGTTAATGGTCCTCAGCCAATGTGTGCGGTGTAAATTCGATATTCCTTCGCCAGTCAGGAAGGAGTGAATGGACAACCACTGTCGACTTTCCGCAAAGTGGTACTTAAGTTATGACCGTGAAGAGATGAGTAATTGACATTGTGGCAAAGTGACCATGTCACAATTGACCAGGCGTGTACACTCACACGTGCACAAGGAAACATTCATCTGTATCATTTTTTTTCCAACTGCGTGTATATTTAGACATAGGCACATTGATATCATAATTGCTAATTCACTGCACTAATATTGTAGCAAGCGCCTTTTGATTCCCGCCTATGCACAACACTGCTGGAAATGAGCGTTTGAACCTGGCCACTTCCTCCCCTGGGTCAGCTTGGCCCTAACATTCACCAAGGTCTCGGTGTGGCCAAATTAGCATTGGAGACAGAGTCAGCCGGTCATGCGTGGTGCCCCTCCCCAACTGCCACCTAATTTCACGTGGCGTTCTTATTGAACGGTCGCGAGCAACACTTGACCCAGCGGTCTGTCAGTGCGAGTGGAGCGTTGCTATCTTTGTGAGGTGCACATTTAATAAAACTAATAATAACAATTCATCATTAGACCTCTTTTTGCCAGTACCAAAATATAATAATAGGTTTTTTCCCCTTTTTTTCTGGCAACAAAACTGAAACCTTTTTACGAGGATCCATGTCTGCATTAACCACAATACTTGCAGTCAAAATGCTAACAAAAAACATACTATGATAATATATGCATTGTCCTTGAAACTGATTGGTCCACACCAAGGAATGGCTTGCTTTTGAGCCTCGACCCAATTGGTGTTCGACCAGAGGACGCCAATAACAATTCATTGGCATTGGAGCCATTCTTGTAGCGCACGGGTATCACATAGGTTGCCATGTGTCACACAGCCGGTCGGGGCCAATGTTGTTTTCCCCAATTAAGTTGTGGGTCGTTTAATACAATTTGGAAACTAATAGACCGTAACGCCAACACACGCGGCCTATTATTTTAATTTAATGTAAAACGTCGCAGGATCTTTAATACCCACTGTGAAGTGTATTTGTGGGTTAACACACCTGCAGTATGAACCATGACGGACGCTCCGACGATCGTAACAGGCGGCAAAATGCGCTCCCGCTCGACCGAGTCACCCCTATATACACACACATATATATGTACACACGCACACATATACATGCACATATATAGTGTGTGATGGCTAGCAAGACTGAGTATGAACAAAGCAGCCCGCGCTTTGACTCTCTGAGCCATGCAAAACCCCCCACAGCGACGGTCGGTTTTTTTCGCGTGCGCCTCCCAACAGGAAAAGGTCGGCGCACAAGCCCAACAATGGCTCGGGCAAACGCAAAGGCAACCCCAAAGACCTGAAGCCTCCGGACCTGTGGATCCACCATGAGACGGTGGCTCTCAAGCCAATGGACAAGTCGCCGGGACCCGACAGTGCCTTGGCGGACACGCCGATGACGCACGGCTCCCACGAGATCGAGGGCTACGGTAACCGTGAGCGCGGCGCCTAATTGGCTCCGAACATTGGGATGTAAACTGGCAGCAAATGCATCCAAGAAGAGTGTTCCCGTGATGCTGCACTCTGTTGTTGCTAAAGCCATTGTTTTGAGAATTCTGAGCATTTGGAATCGACGTTTAATTTGTGGCTGTGCAGCAGTCTCCTGATTGGTTATTTGTGGTGGTCTATATGACCAGATATATTTCAGTATTAAATAGAGCAATCTAGTTGGTCATGAAATGTATTTGTGTAATGAGCTATCCCCTTCATGAACCACCTCCTCCACGCTCTATATTTTGCAGTTGTGTGTTCTGCAGCAGCATGCAAGCACGCATACACGCAAAACATGTCTCCCCCCCCCCCCCTCCCCAAGTGAAAGTAAAAATGTTTTATAAAACCCATCGGGTGCCCCAAGGTGCTCCAGAAGTGCATAATCTCAGCAGCACTCGACAAACATGTTACTGGCAATGCCAGGCCCCACCAGAATCTGCTGGTGAAATGCTGTGTGTGTGACCAGCGTGGCACAGTAGGGGGGTACAGCTTTGGTGGTGCATCTGCCAGTGATCTCAGTCAGCCAATCCATTGCACCCGCTGGGTCTGTCCCGTGACTTCCTGTCAGCGAACCTTCCACACTTTACGTGGCCTCAAAGTGCACCTGGCCTGGCACAGGCGCCGTGGTGACAACACCGTCACTTAGTGGCGAATGGCGGGTATTGGTATTGGACCAGCGTGGTGAAGTATGGTTGCGTACGATCAACAACTCCCTGTCACTACCGTGGGCAGGCCTTCATCCAGCATGACAAAAGGCTTGTTATTAAAACTTCATGCACATTATCTAATTGATTTAACCACTTTAAGATGAAGTGACAATTAACAAGCAGCTTCTTCATTAATTTGTAGCATCAGAGAAAGAATGGAAAGAAAAGGAGGTAGTTCAGTGGTTGCAGTCACAGGCAAGGAGCACTATAGGAATTTGTCAACCACTGCCCGAGTTTATAGACTGGTAAGGCAATTCTTAACTAGCCCACGTTTGTCCATTCACACGCGTGTTTACGCACCTATGTACTTAGCAATCTTAGCTAAAATGCCAGTGAACTGAGTTATTTGTTGCAAACAACACACAATGTGCACCCATTGTGTGTGTGTGCTTGGCAAGGGCCTCGCGAATTCCAACTAGACCTTAAGCGAATAGCGTGCCGGTTAACCGTCCTGAGTCAACACCCCATGCAGGAGGGCACAAAGGCGGGCGCGGGTGCGGTGCTGGTCACACCAGCTCGTTGTGTTCTTGCCAGCCATAATTCAGGATCGCTACTAACAACGACGCTTAATTCAACAGTCCAGCCAGCTCCAAAAGGGTTGAGACATTAATCCGACACTGTGTGAACAAAGCCTCTACATGTTTGTGTGTGCGCGCACGCGAGCTACTCTGATGTTTTTTTTTTTACGTGACCAAGGCACGGCATACGTGCTTGGCAGTTTACTAACATGCCAATAATTTGTTCATGCTCGTGTGTATGTGCACATAAGCGCACGCATGTGCACGCATACACACGCACATGCACGCACACAAAATCACAAACGCTCACCGCTGTCAAAACAAATGGGGCGCGTAACGGCTCCCACTTTTTCAACGTGCTTACGTCGACGGACGCGAACCCATTTCATCTCTGCATGCGAAATGAACGGCGAAACATTTTCATTGCCCGGTGCATTTCACTGCATTATCCTATTTTGTGGTTCCCGCATTTTTTAGGCCGAGAATCCGAAGACGGGATGTCGACTATGGAACGCTCTATAGCGGCGCGCCACGCCATGCGACCGAAGATCGTGATTCCTGGAGAGTCTCAGTCACAACGTAGGCGGCAATCATTTAATCGCTGCCCTGGGCTTGACATCTTATATCTGCAGATTACATAGAAATCAATATTGAAGCATTTGCCCTACTATTATCCTTTGTTAGAATGATGTATAGCCGCCCTTGGGCTCTTTATACGTTCATTGTAAACTGCAGGTTGGAATTTTCATTTACGCTATTTGTCTTTTAAGAGCAGGTGCACACATAATACTTTATAATACCAGCTGTCATATTTAGTTTGTACGTCGTATGTTTTCCTGAGTTATCGAGTTGTTTTTTTGTTTGTTTCATATTTTTTTCTTCACATTCACATACTGTGTGTGCTGTTGTTCAACTGGCTACATGTAACATTTCATTGACATGCTGTTTGTTTTGTGTTTTTTTTTTGTCCTGTCGCTTTTTTCCTTTTTATTTACCATCATCGCTTTAACCCCCCCCAACTCCCACTCCACCTGTCCTCCTGCTCGCCTCGACTCCCTGCCCCTTAACTGTCACACTCCCCCCCACTCACCGCCACCTTAACTCCTTGGACGTTCAATAAAGTGTTGGCAACAGCCTCCCGCCACCATAACCCGGCAAAGAATCACCCGTCCTACCTCTCCCTCCCCCGGCCGCCACCACCGCACCACCACCACCACCATCACCACCACCACCACCAGCTCTCCCCGCTGCCCCCTGCGCCCTCTCCGCCCCCCTTAACCGGCACCCCCTCGCCCTCCTGTAGCTTCCCAGGCCCCCCGGCATACGACGTGTGCATTGTGGGTCTCCCGGGGGCAGGTGGCGGCAGGGCTTCTGCCAGGGGTACGTTGCGAGCGGTCTCCCGCTGTGCCGATGCCGATTGCGTGGTGGTGGCGGGCGGGAGGGCGTGTAACCGCGGGCCGCGTGTGTCTGGTTTGCCGTGTGCCAGAGGAGTTTGGTGGCGGCGTGCGGTCAGCCGCTAATGCATGACATCGGTGTTTCTCAACTCCAGTCCGCGTGACCCACCAGCACAGCTTGAATGTGTTTTCGGGTTGCACGTGCGCGTCGTTCGGCTTGGCGAATTGACGTGCGATCGTTTCTGTCCACATGCAAACGAGGCCGCTACGCACTGCACACACCTGATGGTTGGTTAATCGCGGGAAGCTGCAGCAATGGGGGTCGCAAGGAACTGGAGTTGAGAAACCCCGCGTGAGATGGCTGGTTTAGCATGACAAAATTAACCGTTGCGGTGTATAAAAACACGACTGAGTCAACTGTACGGGTTGGTGGTTGTCATGTGGGTAGGCTGATTCCCATGATAGGAATGTGGATTTTCTCCCACTGGCTCCAGGCTGCCATTGTAAACGAGCATTTCCTTGTGAGCAATAGACAAGGGAGATGGGTTTTTTGTTTCCTGTACGTTAGTGTATATGTGAATGCTCTCAATACATTACACGCTCACGAAGGAGTAGTTGGGCGAGCTGTGCATGGAATTCTGAATCATGATGCACATTGCGAGTGACAATAGATTTCTGGAGCTTGGCTTGGGCCCTCCCTTAGGTGGACTGAATGCAAAATGTAACACCGATTGCAGCACAATCATAGTTAGCACTGTGATGACGAAGTCATTGGTGCTGGCTACACAGCAGCCACGTGTGGTTGCTGTGAGAGCATTCATAGTAATAGGTGATCGCTAACAAACAGCACATGTTGTGCCAACAGTCACCAAGGCTAAATTAGTGAGCCACATCTTATTAGATATATACTTATTTTAATCGGCTAAACATATTCATAATCAACGTGTTTGGGTTTAGATCGCGTTATTTATAAATGTGTCGTAACCCTCCACCACCCGACACGGCCAATCAGTAAAAAAGTGTCACGTTGACAAAAGACAAATAGTTCACTGCTTTAGCCCACCGGTGTGTTGAAGCGTGAAACCACAACATTTACAATTTGAGTACGACGTTTCGCTGGTAATTGCATCCAGCATCATCGGGCAATTCGGCGAATTGTCAACGTGACACTTTTTTACTGATTGGCCGTGTCGGGTGGTGGAGGATTACGACACATTTATAAATAACGCGATCTAAACCCAAAAACGTTGATTATGAATAATATTGGTCGCGAAAGCCTACGTGTTAAACGGCTAAACATAAAAATAAATGCACATAAATGAAGCCTCAAGTCAATTCACACTTAATTTCCAGTTGAGCCCTCATTTCCATCTGCTACAAAAATGTTGCAGGGTAAATGCAGATTACTTTGCCCTGGTACCCGGCACACCCTTACGCGACGATCAATCAGTTTGGCTTCATCGTTAAACCAGAAGACCGGAGGAGTTGCTGCCTCATAATAGGTTCATAAAACGGCCTGCATTGTATACAAATTGTGAAGTCGACATTTTATTGAGTCCCCTTTTATAAGACACGAACATCATTAAAGCTCTTAATACAGCAATTAATTTGTTTTCATGAAAAGGATTGATACGCTATCGCAGCAGTACTGTCAAAAACATTCTGTACTCCGCAATCATAACGTACACATCTTTTCCACGTGAAATTATTTTTATCAATATATGTATTTTCTGAGTTCGCAATAGCCTACTCGCGATTTGCCCGAATAAATATTTAAATCGTCTTGGTAATTTCGTTACATTAATATATATATCACGCAACATCGGCGATAAATATGATTAAACCCTACGTTATGCAAAGGTTAAAGGCGTCACTGTAACTTTTACTGCAAATTCTGTCTATTTTTCGACACCCAATCTGTGCCGCAAAGTCATAAATTTTGTTAAGCGTGGCGCTAAAATGGCCATCCCATAAATTCCAGACACCCAAGATTTTAAAACTGCTTGTCCAAATTAATAAACGCCGCACTCAAACAGCCTCAATTAACATACAAGTTGGGAATATTTGTCTTTCACAACCTTTTCTGGGGTATATCTTGTTAATAAAACAAAATTGGTTCGACCTGTGCTATATGTTAACGCCACATTATGCTCGTTTGATGCTTGCTCAAAGATTGTTGATTTGTTGCGGCTTGCTTTCGAGCTCGCATGCTGAAATAATGCATTTAATTAATATGGTTGTAGCATTAAGATAAAGACATTGTGTGTGTAAACTCATTGCACACGGGTATTTTGAAACTGGTGGAAAAGTGATAATGCAGTGTTTTATGGGCTACTGCGCAAAATATACAATTTTGTATCTAATATATGTTGAACTTCTTTTGCACCGTACATAGCCAACCAAGCTAATATCTAAGCCTCTTATAGGTTGACCCATCGGAGGTGCCTTGCTGACATTGATAGTTGCTCAGGAGTAACATATGCCCTAACAATCTAAACGGTTACATTTTCGTTTCATCAGAATAATTTAATAAATCCAAAAACACACAGAGCCTCACGTGAAACTAAAACTCCCTCAATCAAATCATGGCTGCCTGTGGCCAGCTGTCATTGATTATTTATTTGGCCCACGCTGTAACACATGTATATATATTTAATGGATGAAATAGCAATGATACATTAGGATCTACGGATGAAATGCGCCTTATAAATATAAATTTTTATTATTCAGAAACACACTTTTTTTTTCTACGGCAGCTGACAGCAGTGGTGGGTGTCCTCTTATTATATCAGCTGGAGGCAGACAGATACCAGCACAGCAGCAGCAGCAGCGTCGGCGTGCGTGGTGCCGAGCGATCTTCTGACGGCTTTGTTCCTCCACCCCCCCGCCCCTTTGCCACAGACTCACTGCAGCAGTCGCCAAGCGGAGAAATGGCCCCAGGTCCCGTGCCGGGCCTGGGCGAGAGCGACGGTTGTCCGACGGCCGGACCGGCGGCTGCCGCCGGTCCGGCCGTCGCGTCGGTGGTGGCGGACGACGATCCGCCGGGCCGGCACCTTCCCACGGCGCACGTGCGGCCCTCCCAGCCGCTCACCAGCTTCGCCGTGCCTGTTGTGCCCGCCCACCCGTCCGTCGATGGCGCCGCTGCCGTGGGCAGCGTGGGCCCGCTGCACCCGCAAGGTCTCGTCCGGTTTAATTTTTTTTTACGTTTTTTTATGTTGTTGGAAACCATAAAAAACATTCTTCTCTCTCTCCTTAACAGTTTTTTTTTATGCCAGTCGCGCTACGCGTGCACGTTGAACTTCTTTCGTGGCGTACGTAGCCAACCCGAGCTGATCCGAGGTGTGGATAAAGGACCACAAACTAAACACAAAAAGCAGTTCTAAAGTCGTTGATTTTCAATCTATATTTAAATTGCATAGCTCCAGTGGCTTTCTAATATCGAAAGGAAGAGCATTCCAGACGGCCGCAGGAGCGTCATGTCATGAGATCAACTAACTGCTCGTTCGCACCTCTCGCCGAGCGGCGCAAACCTTTGTGTTGGAAAATGGCTCACGGAAGTGGATATCATAGAGCTTCCTGTGAGGTTCCCTCAACTGACCCATGGTCCACACTGTAGAGGAGGACAGTGCTTTTCAACCGCTCTGCATGTGAGAGTAATGACAGCTAGACTGATAGTTGACCTCTCAAAGCTGGAATGAAGCGCAGAGCAAAATTTAAAGTAAATTTTTTTCGTGCAGTCTTTTGTGACCAGACTGTGACCAAACAACTCGCTTCACTGACAAGTTGGTTAAATCAAAAGGTGCCGACTTGGATTCGAACCCAGCGTCACTCAAGTGCCAGCTCAGCGCTTTGACCCTCCGAGTCACCCAGCCAACTTTTCTTGTTTTTGTAAATGTTCATCCAGAGTCATATTCCTGTTCTGCTGTAGCCATCGTGTGGCATGACACCCAAGGAATGTCCACGTGGAAGGCTCAGAGAGAGCTTCACAGCAGCATCACTTCTTTGTCAGAGCGAAGCAACCGGAGAGATAGCTTAACAAATATTTCCTCTCAATCCACTTCAATAAACTCCTCATGCAGTAAGCGGCGGCACAGAAATTATATGGCCTTCGGGAAGTATTCGTTTTTTTTTTTATCAAACCAATATTGAAGCTTCAGAGCTGGAATATGCAGGATTAAGTAAAACATTACTTTTAATATAAGTGTGTGTGTGTGTGTGCATTCATTGGTGACTAGGCTGATACCATCGACTCGCTCATGCTTGAGAACTTGAATTAATCCTGTTCGGCTGTCTAGATTTTAATCCATGATCTCGGTGGTTGCTGGCTCAGTGTTCTGACATAACCATTCGCCCAATGAGTCACCCAGGTAACTAAAGCTCAAGTGAAATGCGAATTACTTTGTTTGATTATAAAGTGGTGGCATATGTCAGCAATTGAGCACCTCAGACGTGCGGTTGGGTGCATTATGCAGAGTGCCATGTATGACGCCTGCGGTGGGAAATAGATTGCAGTACAGAAAGTAGGTCGCTGACATGCCTCAGTGGATTCTTGAACTTAATTCCCTAATTTTACGTGGGTTTAATCTTGACTCCGCCGAGGTCAGAATTTCCGTCGTAAATAAAGTCACTGACAAAGCTCAGTTCAACACGTAGGATGCTTTCACGACCAGCATTATCCATAATATAGGTTTTTTTTGGGTTGGATTGCGTAAATATAAACGTGTCGTTAAACCTCGCCACCACCCAACACGGCCACTTAGTGAGGTTTGTCACGTAAACAAAACGTGTCAATTCGTTACTAGTTCAGCACACCGGTGTGTTGGAGAGTTAACCCACAACATTTACAATTTGAGTACGACCTTTCGCCAGTAATCACAACCAGCATCATCCGGCGACAGCTGTTGCCATTGTAGTGCAGGACAAATTTACGTGGATAATGGTTAATTTATTAAATCAATCCAAGAAGCATACTTTTCGTGGTGGCTTAACGCATGTATCCGTGTTCTATTTGTGTAAAAAAAATTTGCTCACGTATTATGCTTCAGCTAAGATAATTTTGCCTAAACTGCTTATTTACATTTTGTTAAATTGTTTATACAAAGATGAAAAGCTTAAAATTAAGTGTTTCTCTGCTAATCTATCTTCATTGGCAGCCCTAAACCCATGGTAAAAAAAAAACAAATTGAAATTCATATGGTGAGTGTTGGTGTCTTCCTAGGATAGTCATTGTTATTACTCTCCCGCCATAGCGCAACAAAATATAATGGAACACAACTAAGAATGTGGATTTAGACTCGGCAGGATGCACAGGCAGAATAATACAATAAGGCATTTCATGGCATCTTGTTTTATCTTACTCTTTCATGTTTTATCTCCCCGTTTGTTGAGCTAAAGAAAACTGCGCGCGAAAGTATCGCTAAAGGACATTCGGTGATGCCCTAACCATAACATTGTACGGGGGAAAAAATCCCGCTTATGGGATCCAGGCATATTCATACTAATGATATGTCAAAGCCCCGAGAACATTTCTTGCTTCAACTAAACCTTGAGTAGTCCTATAAGTTCCAGCAGACGACTGGCTCGGTGCCAGAACCAAAGAGCATCGCGAAGATAGCGCAGATATCAGATACTCCGGTTTAATCGCCAATCTGACAGTGCTGTGGGGGCGGGTGAATAGAGCTTTGAGAATGGAAGGCGATTTGACTGACAGCTCTTGTAGCACGGTGACAGGCAGCGTTGATGCTTTTAGCGGCATGCTGTGTGCTCTTAAAAAGCCAATTTCTGTATGAAAGGTGGGGGCAAGATTGGATTGTTACGTACTGCGGTTTGCTAAAAAGGGATTTGATGGCCTATCGGTAACGCGCGGGCACAAATCCCAAAAGTGTGACCAAGACAGATCGGGAAAGATTTCCATTACAGTGGAACAAGTAATGGTGCAGAGTGGGCGACAAGTGTTGCGTGTTCCAAATCTCTGGTTGGATGTAGTGAAGCGGACTCGGTTTGTTTGAGCGTGAGATCGCCGCTACGATATTTTTTCCGCGTTTCCCTTTTTTCACGTTGCAAACGCGCTCGCACACTACCCGCGGGTCTCGCTTTTGTGCAAAAAGGTTAATGCATTCCCTATCTGATACAATTAGAGCATCTTTATACAGCAAATATGAATAGTACCGTTTTGTATGACCCATCACTTGGTAATATTTTAAAATACTTGATACTAAAATGCTTTGACTTTTTCACCTATAGCTTGAAAGAATATACAAAACAATGGCTCTTCAAATCATTTGACTTTATAACCTTTCTAAATTTCTTTTCACCAATTTTTTTTTGCACAAGTCACACTTTCTACCGTAATGAATTCCTTAGTGTTGAAATGACACGTGTTAATTACATGCTGCCGAGGGCTAAGGTTTCAGAAGAGTCGAGGCATCTTGGTAATTGCTCGCCTAATTGCCTTGTCAACCTTGTTCTGGTGTTCCCAACGGTGCCAACAACCAGTTGTGTCGAGTCCTTTACTCTCGGCCTGCAGATTCGCAACCAATGGAGAATCTGGAATGGTGTTTTCGCAACAGTTGAAACGCATTGTGGTGCCGAGATGGGCATTAGCAACGGGGAAGAGATGGTCCTGGGATATACGAGCCTCTGGAGCCCACGTGAATGCATTTCCCAACTTGCTCAGCCTGCATCTCCTGAAATAGGCCTGATCTCATCAAATCTCAGATGATAAGCAGGGTTAAAACCTGGTTGATACTTGGAATGGGTAATATGTGGATGGATGATTGCATTGCCAGGTGTTGTAGGCATGAGCCATTCTGCTCTAGCACTCACCCCATATGTACAGGGTGGCCCAAAGCCAGGATACATTATTATATTTATTTTAACAAATGTTCACACTCAATTTCTCTAACATTAATGCATGCATACATTCGCTAATGAGATTAATGAACAGGTGTACAGGTCCAATCTTTGAACATTCATCAATTACGTTCCGTCAATTTCGAAAATTTTCCTTCCTTGTTTTTTGACGTCGTCCGAAAGGGAAGAAGAAAAATAATAGATGTTCACAATGATAATCAATAAACATATTAACGTCACGAATATGCAATTAAAATGTTGTAATGCCGGTGTTATAATGAATGAAATAACCCTTTGCGTCCTGACCTTTGGACCACCCTGTAGATGAGGAAAGGTTGCAATGCCCATTGCTTGGTTATAGCAGCGTTTATTCACTTGCCTGTGAATACAGAAGAGGGGGGCTGGGATGGCACAGCCTTCAGGAGAGGGGGGGGCACCCTACCTCGAGTGCTAGGCGGATGCCTATTTGTCACCCGATGACTCTTCACTTTGTGTTTTTATTTTTAAGGCCCCAAAGTGTAATCCACGAATGTGTTGGAGCTGGGTTTTTTTCTTCTTCTAGATTTGAAGCTTTCGTGACTGCAATTATTCATACTCTTCGGTTTTTTCGGTAAAGTCACGTAGGTAAAAATAAATAATAAAAATAAAAATAATAGAAATAATAATAGAAATAAAATGATAAATCACGACGCTTCGGAGGCATCACTTGATACAGTAAATCTAGCTGTGACGGTCCCACCTGATGACGGAGACTTGTGTTGCCTCCGAAACGTAATTTAGAATTTTATTTCTATCATTATTTCTATTATTTTTATTATTCATTTTACCTACGTGACTTTACCTGAAAAAACCTAAGAGGAGCTGTTTTTGTTTGTTTGTTAATAGTCCTCATGAAGGGCAACTTGGTCTGATTGACAAAGTGGTTGACCGTTGAATTGATTATTTGCCGATTTGTCAATAGTGCAGGAAACCAAATGCGAGGCACTATTTTGTTGGGCGGGATGCTCCAGGGGAAGGAGCACGTTTTTTTTGTTCGTGTTCTCCTCTGCCCTATCGCTTTCGTATCGAGTGAGCAGGTGTGTTCATTGATCCACGTGCGTGCGTGTGTCACCGCTGACTCGACATGCTTCTACGACGAACGTGTTTGCATCAACGCCGCCCTCGTGGTCATAGCTTCACCCCAACCGCCACTCGCATTAACATTTTCAAACCCACACCATCCTCCACCTGCCCCCCCCCCCGTTCCCCTTTGAATGTTGAAATTATTTTGCACCGTGCATAGCCAACCGCGCTAAGTCGGATGTGCGGGTGAAGGACAACAAACTAAACACAAAAAGGAGTTCTAAAGAAATGAGTTTTCAATCTAGATTTGAGAGTGCATAGCTACAGAAGCTTCCAAATGTTTCCCTCTACCTCTGTTATCCCTCTAGCTACAGCCTCCCCCGCCCTACATATTCCTCCACGTTTTCTTATGTATCTCGTGATTCTGCATTAATAGCCAGCAATGCAATCCGATATTCACATTACATAGTCAACAAGTCTAAACATGACCTTTTCAATGAATACGTAACTACATATTTTTAAAAATAAATTGTCACGATCCATTTTTTTCTGGTCCAATCCGTATCATTTTATTTGCCAACCAATTAAATGAATGTTCAACTCCGTAAAATAATCTTGAAGACCAAAGTCAATACTCCACTGCTTGGCAGTCCATGTTCTCTGCTGGTAGACTTAAGTAGGTGATTCAAATCCCACAGTCTTATGACAGGAATTACTCTTTCCACCGTTGAATTGCCATGATATTGTACTCACTTTACTCATCCCAAGGGGATGATGAGCTGGGTCTATCCCTAGCTGGGATATTAGCTCACAACACTCTGATTGTGAAGAAAGTGCTTTTCCACACATTCCTCCTGAGTTGATTGATGTAACATTTGTAACTTATGGGTGGATTCAACGCTCAGAGACAGAGTGGTTTTAATGAATACCAGCGAAATGGATCCAGTGCACGCAATTGAGCTGGTCTTGTATAGACTGTAGCCTATATCGGCTGAGGCATGTCAAAATGTGCCTTAACTAAAATGCATGGCTGTAGTAACTGATCAATAAAAACAAATGCTATATTTAGAACGTGTTGTGTTCCCGCCTGGGGTGCAATATTTCTCTATGTCAAAGGAAAGCTGTTTATAAATGATGCTTTGAAGATATATATATATCAAATACAGTTCTTAAAATGAACATCACAGCGACAAGGCTGACATGGAAAATGTAAACATTTTAATACGATTTAAAATCCAATCGTGCTTGACCAACAAATATAAACATTTCATTTTGGCTGTGTTGCTTCACATTTGACATACTCGCCCAGAAGTCTTCATATCAAATGTTTACACTCGGCGTGTGTGCGTGTGTGTGTGCTCTTGCATGTGTCGGCCTTCATAGGTGCTCGCTAGTAGCACTTGCACCAACTGTCTGTTAAGGCTACACGGGCCATCTACGTCTTGTCGGGCATGTGTGTGCATTCATTTCACGCGATCCGCATTTGGCCGTCGCTAGAAAGGTCCCACACACGTGCAAGAGCAGCTCCCTCCGTGGCTGGTCGTGACGAATTTGAGACGTTAAAATAAAATCGGAATCAAACGGTGCTCCTGTTGGGAAGGTGATGCGTGTTTCTTGTTAGCGGGGGGAGGGGGGTGCGGTGGGAGATCAGCAGTGCGTTGCAGAAAAGGGTGGCAGCAATATAAATATTCTCTGGGTGGCAGAGCAGAAAGAAACCTTTGAGATCACGGGATGCACGTTGGCCAAAGTCAAAGTGGAAATTCCACATTCCTATGGTGGAAAAAGTCCCTTCATCGGACAGATGCTGTGAGACCGCGAGCCCAGTGCCATTGCCGGTTGTTTGCCCAGGAAGTCTTCAAGGCTCTCTATCCATGCGCTTGAGATGCTTGGCCAATGCCATTGCTGAGTTTCTGGGCACGTGTGGGAGGAAACTGGAGAACCTGTAGAAAACCCATACCTCAAGGTGACACCCCGAGCATTGCCATATCCTGGCCTACTCGCAGCCCAACACCTACATGGCCTGTCAAGCCCTGGTGGCCCCTCATCCAAATACGAACCAGGCTCAACACTTGCTTCGCGTATGCGAGCCGACGAGTTTTGGCGCATGTAAGGCGATTCGGTGACAGGCTTTGGTAAGTCATTTTATCGACCGCAAAGTCATGATGGACCGATTCGACTCACCTAGCTGAGATTTGAACTCGCGCACTTCAGATTGTGAGCGTGGGGCGGGGTGGAAACTCTCAGCGCAGTGGCACCTGGCCCCGACAATTTTATAATTATTATTTTTTTTGCTGTTTTTACAACAATGCCCTCATGCCTCCCAGGTGGTCCTCAGCTGCTTCCAGCCAGGACGGCTTCGGTGGGCACATTGGGACGTACCCGCGCCCCGCTGCCTGTCACCATGCCCAGCGCCCCTGACGCCCCCGTGGAACCCAGCCACCATCCCTTCGAGGACACGGAGAGCGTGAGTTTGAAATAAATGTTGTGCTGCGACCAGCATGCGGGGCGGCGGCGGCGGCAGCGGCTTCTTTGAGTCGCTCGGCAAAACTGCCAGCGCTCAAAGGCCCATGACGGTCGCAGGTGGCAAAGGTAATGGTAGCGGCGGGGTCACAGTGCTTGGCTATGCATGAGCTGTAATGTTTTGTGAAGAAAAATTCACGTGTACATTATCTTTAAATTATTATTATCATTCCTCCCAGCCACTTGCCAATCCTTTCAATAGGGTGAACCCATCTGTGACCCCCCGCCGAAAAAAATGTCCCCTGTCATCGCTGATAACTAATTTAAATATAAAGTTATTAGCTTACATCTAGTCAGTTTAAATGCAAATGTCCTAAATGGTTATTTGCGTGTAATATAAATTTGAAATTTAAACACACCGTGGCGAGGAACCAAAATTGTTTTATGTTTGCTGACATACATTAATGTCAATTCAATTTGTGATTCAATGCTGAGAAATATAATACTTTATTTCAGCATTTTTCAATTTTTTTTTTATTATATTCCTTTGGCTGAAAGTGCATAAATGTTGTTGGTTATTGTCTGGTGTCAAAAATCCTGTTACTGTCAGTGTAGAGTAGATCACATTTTGTTAAAATGTGTTTAAGGCTCACAGCCTCTTTGCTTTGTCTCACTTAAGCATTCTTCATAAGCTCCAGATTCCCTACATTCATTATGATTATTGTATCATTACCCTCCACTGCAAAATGACTTGCTATCGACTACCTGCCAGTCCTATATTTAAGCCATCACCATAATTGGGCAGTCTTGAATTTGGAATTGTGATTTTACCATTTCGGTCACAAGTTTGCAATTTAACCATACATCACACAGTCGAGTTTTAAATACGTTGTTTCTGAAGCCTCTAACCATGTCTCCTTTTATCCTTCCTATCCTCTCTCTTTTAACGCCATTTTGTGTTCACCAAATCCTCCTTTACGATTGTTATTTTTGTTGTCTGGCATTTTTGCTACGTTTCCTTTTTTCACGCCCTCCCTGTCCTTCTGTGTGTCTCTCTCGCTGTGGTGACGGGTGCGGTGTGGCGGCCTAGCAGGCTTTGTGAGGCCCGGCTCAAGGGTTTCCCTCTCCTCAAAACAAAAAAAAAGCTCACACCTTCACGCTGACGGCAATTCCCCTTCCCGCAGACCTTCGGGCAAGACGACGAGGAGCTGAGTGCTGAGATGGCAAACCTGGAAGGGCTGATGAAGGACCTCAATGCTATCACATCCTCAGGAATCTGAACAGCCATTGGCCCAGAGGAGAAATTACAAAATTGAACTCGAATGAAAAGCATCTGGACAAGTAAGAGACACACAAATGGCGGTGTCGGTGTAATTGCTAGCAAACACTGCAGCGTTTTGCAAGCCATCAACCCGTGATTTCAATGCCTCTGGTGTGCCAAGTTCATCGCTGACTGATGGATGATTAATGCGGTTTTTCGCAACCCATTTTTGAAAGCTTGCTTTGAAGCAATGATTGAGAACTTCAAGCTGTACCTTTAAAGACTTTTTCGAGCTCTGAAGTGTCATCAAAGCTGGGAGACATCAATGCGGTGGACATGCCCCTTGCAAGGGAATCGATGTGGATTGTTACATCCTCTACAACGCCACTTTGTGGAAAAGCACCTTTGCAATCCTCGACTTAAAATCGGCAAAACTGAACACTTCTCTTGAAGGAGAAGAGTGAGAAGACAATTAGAAAAATAAATGTGGGTTAGGGAGAAAGCAAAACAATACAATTCTCTTTGCAAAGAAGCGCATTTTAAAAGTAAATATTTTGTTGTATGCGTATTTTAACTTTTATGTCTTCTTGGAGCCTGTAGATAGCTATTGTGTTAGTCTGTTGACATGTACATACTGGCAATATGGTGTCTTTATGTTACGTACAGTACAATCACGTATTTTTTTGCGAAAAATCTGGTACCTTTTTTGATAATGGGTGCAACCGTGGATGTTCACGAAAGGGACATCAATACCACTGAAGGGGTTCGAAGGGAGGAGGAGGGTGGTGGGAGTGGTGGGGGTGGGGAGTGGGAGGAAGGTTCTGGATTAACGATTAAAGTCCAACCATCAAAGAAGACATGGGCTGGCAGCGACCTGGAATTTCAATCAATAACGAGCTGCACCTGGGACTTGCTCACAAGCCCCCTGAACCTCATTTCAGTCTGTCCAGCGATGCCATTTCTTGGAATAATGGAAAATAAATATTATTGTTGTTTTTTTTAAGATGGGAGAATGAGAGTGGGTATATTTATTTATCTCCCCCCTCAATCGCCATAAGCGGAGAGATGTGTTTGCATTATTACAGAACGCAATAGGGCCACACACACACGTGGTAGGCAACATCTTAACAGCACAAACGGTTACAATGGGAGTGTTTTAGGGCAGCTGCGCTGTTGTGACTACCAATTGTGCCAACTTTTTAAGAGTTTTCACTGTTTGCATCTGTTTGCATCTGTTCAGGCTCGCATTCATTGTAGACGGTGAGACACGTTTATAATGCGTCACTCAAAGGGTTCACAAAACACCTCCCATTCGGCCTCCCCCCGGTACACGGTGATTCACACTTGCAGTGTTGGCCATGGCTGTACGCAAGACACATGGCAGCTGGTCACTGCCAACATAACGCTTGTAAGAATATGGCACAAAATGGGATTAACAAATGCTGCGTGTTATTTTGATTCGTACACATGAACGATTTGTTGTTATTATCATCATCGTTATTTTACCTCCTGTATTACCACGCCGGTTAGTCGATTCGTCGTGATGTGGAGAGCTTTTTTTTCCCGTAGACGCTTTGCAAAAGGCCAGTTCAAGATTTGCCATCTGGCGCAACTGTTAATAAACCGAGCCTTGGTGATCGCTGCTGCAGAAATTGTATCTGTTAAGCCCCTGTGCATGGCGAGATGCGCGTGTTGATGACGGGTGGCACGTCATTTTTTGTCTCGCGATGAAGTTGCCATGGGTGCTCGTCGTCCGCAAAGACAGTTGAAACGTTGATCAGCAATGCCATATCTGCCTGGCGGTTACATCGTCACGCATGGTGATGCTTGCCGGTCAAAGCACTCGACTCTGAAACGAACATGAACCAATGCTGATTGATATGGGTGGAGTACAGAGAGAGAGAGAGAGCCCAAAGGCCCCATTCTTTTACGCACGAAAAAGGCAGCAGCTTTGGTGGTAATAATTTGGGGATGTTGACAAAACAGTTTATGAAGGACAGAGACGACAGTGTTGAATTGCTATGCAGTTCAGGCCTGGATAATAATAAAAAAACCACTGAGCTTTATTTATGGATGTTATGTTACTTAGCTCTAAATTAAATACTTGAATAATTGTACATTGTCAAAGGTGTACAAAGTGGTAAAAATGTTTCCATTGTAAACAGCGTTTTCTCGGACAAAATGGGAAACTTACTTTTCCTATATTTGACCCAGGCCGAAAAAAAGGTACTAACTTTTCAGCACAATAATGAATACAAGTCTGCGTGTTATTAGTATCAATATACTGTTGTAGAGTATGCTGGCTAATCAAGTCATTTGGTACATTTTCCACATTCTTATGGACAATGATGTATTTTAAACCAATCATTTGCATATATACCATCACTTACAACCATTGCTCTTTTCTATGAAGGCTGTTTAACCCTGCCATGACTAGTACTTTATCCACTTAAATATTTCACTTTTTGACCGAGCGTCTGTTAAATTTGCCACTGTAGCTATCGTCTGCTTTTAATATGTGGCATTCTTAAAAACATCGATCACGTCGAATGAACATCCGCATTTAGCTGACTGATTTTTTGAAAGTTGATGCCCTAGCTTTTTTTCAGAATTACACGGTTGTTAATATCAAGTGTTCAATGATAAATATATATTTTTTAGTCGTCTGCATTTATTCTCTCAATTTTGAGGTTCATATTGCTAAGTGCTACGTTTGGTACCGTTTTGCTTTGGAGTATACTTTTGAGTGTGTGACAAGTGGCTCTTACCGTTTCTGAAACTGTTAACATTTAGACCCTTAAAGACGCTCATTGTGATACAAATGAATAAAACTGCTGTCTTATATAGAATGCGGTACCGCTTCTTACTTTTTCGACGGGAGAAGAATTCTGTTACGAGGGGACTGCATCACTTTTACACACGGTGCAACAGAGAAGATTTGGAACTGATGCACGTATGAGTTAATATGACACCAACAACATTGTCTGTGTCACCACAATGTACTGTTATACCACGTGTATCTTCACACTATAAGAAGGTCAAGGTGCAGCCCTGCAATTGCTTGCTCAAGCCACTGCTGGCTGGTAGCAGGGCCTCTGCGAGTGGGAGCTCAAGAGTACCCCAAAAGTTGACACTTTGATCTAATCTTCCAACACTGGAAGAAGCACCTATACCATTACACTATGCTAACGATCTTGACTTAAAGCTTTCGTGACTGCAGGAATTCATATTCTTTGGGTCTTTCGGTCTTTCGGTAAAGCCAGGTAGGTAGAAAAATAAAAAAATATCACGACGTTTCGATCGCAACACAAGCAATCGTCAGCAGGTGAAAAAATATATGGCGTCGTGATATTAATATGCTGCCTATATCATCACACTATGCCACCTAATAATATTACGTCGTTTGTCTCCGGTTTTTACCTCCAAATGTATAAATATGCGTTTAGAAGATTTGTTTGTTACAAATTTCCACGTGATAAGCCACTTCGTTGAGCTATCAATTGTGGCCAAGTTGTTTCTGCAAAAGAGCTATACCGCTCAAGTGGGTCTTGCCTGGTAAAATAAAAAAATTGTTTAGTTTTCATGTATTGTCCAACATACCGATGTGGGACCTTCTTGATAATGAAATTCTGAATAAATTAATGGCATTTATCAAATATGAGTGTAATCTATAAGACAACCACATTTGCCTTCCCATAAAACTCTTTATTTTTATCAACCCCCAAAGGGACGTTGGGCTGAACTCTAACCACAGCTCCACCCAACCCACATATTCTCGGCAGATGTCGCAACCGAGTACCCGATACCCGTACCCTACCCGATACCCGGCTACCCGTACCCGGCCGGGTACAGGTAGCCGTTTGCGACCCTGGTGCGGCCGGGTACGGGTAGGCCGTGAGTCACTGGTGAGTAACCGTTTGTCACTCATTTCGGGTAGGGTACGGGTAGGGAACGGTTACCCGTACCCGGTCGGGTACGGGTACCCATTTGCGACCCTGGTGCGGCCGGGTACGGGTACGGGTAAGGAATCAAAACCCGTTTGCGACCTCTGATTCTCGGTCGGAGTTTCTCAACGGAGGTGCTCGCGGCCCAGCCCACAGCACAGCTGTCTGTGATTTACCAACAACCATCCGGTGCGTGCAGCGTGCAGGGTCCAGTGTGCACGTTGGTAATGAAGCAAAATGTGGACAGGCGCGGATGGGTCGCGAGGACCGGAGGTGTTGGAGCACCTCCGCTGTAGATGACCCGTGAATAAATGCGTGGCCGCGCAGTGTCCTGGCATACGGAGAGAGTGGTGGTGGCGGCGGCGGCACGTGTCCATTGGATGCGTGAACCACCCTGGGAAATGCTTTATTCTCCGGGCATAAGATCTGCAACGCGTGGGGAACGCGCGTGCCCCCCCCCCACCCCAGTGCGCGCCGTTTAGCGCTGCGGTGATGCAGGTGCGTACCCCCCCCCACCCCCCGCTGTGTATTGTTGCCTTGAGTTGTCCGGCGTGTTTCCCTTTTCCCGAGGCAGGCGCTCGGCATTAAATATGAAGGTGCAAAGAGGGGTGAGTAAGAGGACAGTCGGGTGAATGGGCGCTAAAGTGGGGGGGGGGGGGGGGGGGAAAGAGCTCTCTTTCACAGCTCTCTCCCTCTCTCTCTCTTCACCTTCAACCGTGTTCTCACTCAATGTCGTCCTCCTGCAGGATTTTTGTTGTTGTTTCAGAGTACCCAAGACGAGACAATACACCACAACACCGCCGCGTGCGTTTCCATTCACATCCAATTACAGGCAATGAATCCCTTTGTTCAGGCAGGCGGACGTATGTGACTTTCAACCGTTCATTTCTTTTAGTCAAATTCACTTTAACCTTTAAAATGTCATCGTCAAGAGCCGTGAACGTGCCACTGCTGTATGACGGACATCCCCAAGCCGTCGCCACGTATGTGTATATACATATATATGTATGTTGAACTTCTTTGTCACCGTACGTGACCAACCGTGCCATCGGTCTTGCGATGCAACTATCCATGCAGCTCCTTCACACGAGCCGAGCTCTTCAGTCCTTTCCCATGATGGGTGCCCTCTCAAGTCGATTACCTCCTTGAGTCAGCTACAACATCATTAGTCTCTCGACCCCGAGCCATATTCCCTTTTAGTGACTTGTTCTCTCTGAGCCCACTCACTTTTATTAACAGTCAATATGATGTCCTAAGTTGAAAGCAGGACTTTAAAAGCATGCGATGTAGGATCCCGGCTAAAAGCTTCAATTAGGGACACTGTGGGAATAAACTTAGAGGGTTCAGAAGAGGCATTCGTAAATGTACCCATTAGGTTCAGGGCGATAATCATCGTTGCAGGTAAACACGTCTCGCGTTCTAAAGCATTGCACATTTTTGGTTTGTTTTGAATTGACAAAGTCCAGTGAGGTCTGCTACTGTATTATTTTAAGTTCATTAAACTGTTTCGACTTGTGTTCTGCCAGACAAATCCCTAGCTTCATACCAAATTATTTCGATTTAAAGCTTTCGTGACTGCAGGGATTCATCTTCTTGGTTCTTTCGGTAAAGTCACGTAGAAGGGAAGTAATAACATAATGAAAATAAAACATAATAAAATATATGCTCCAAGCATGGTGCTGTTTCATTCAGATGCTGTCGCCTCGACAGACCTGGTTTTCACCTGAGGACGGCTGCTTGCGTTGTGGCCGAAACGTCGTGAGAATTATTTTATTACGTTAAATTTTTATTATTTTATTACTTCCCTTCTACGGACTTTACCGAAAGAACCAAGAAGACCAAATTATTCACCATTGTTTGTAAATGTTTCATTATCGACGGTTATCAGATACGGTATAAACCAGATTATTTCGGTATACGATATATAAATTCTGTATTGTATTTGTGTTTGTAATAGGTGCACTGTTACAGCATTTAGTATGAATTTGAAACTAATCTTATTCATGTCAGAACAATGCAGCGACTGTTGGATTGAGAAGACATCACATTGTAAGTCGAATTACAGCCATGCTATCCACTGCTGGATTAGGGTCTTCCCTACGCTGTGCTATCGCCCATGGATGTTATTTGACCATACTCCACCGCAGTGGCCAGTGTGCATAGGTCAGGGCGGGGGACCAAGACGCAGTAGCATAGGAGGATAGCGCAAGAACAGCAAGTGAATGTTTCTGCACTGCCCTCTGCTACGTTGAAAATACGTGGAAATCAATAAATGGTCTATATACAGCATTTGTAACGTACAAATGTAATCGTCGCCGTTTACATTAGCACAACATAACAACTCAAATGAAAGTGCAATAACGTTGTAGACTACTTCGGTATCACATTGCAATCAACAATTCTCATCGAAGATGAGGTCTTTTGTTTTCACGGATTTCCATTGGATTTTAAAGGCGAGCCCCTTCTTCATCGTGGCATCGTCTTCGCTGCGCGCGCTCTGCTATCGGTGGCTGTCCACGCGTGCACGATGCTGAAGGCGGTGGACGCGTTTGCGGCAAAGCCGATCTCCCTCGCCTCCACTCGTCGCTTCGCACCGTCCTCGCTGGGACCAGCTCCACGGGGTCCACGTGTCATCACCTTCGGCCGCAGCCGCGCGTACACGCATTGTGACCTCGCGAGCACACACATTGTCACTCGCACGAAAATCCAAATTATGACATCATTGGTTGCCGGTGAACAGAGGGGGGGAAAAACCCTCCCGGGGACGTTTTACCGTCTGAGTAAAAAATCAGCCTGCCTTTTGAACCTCGAATATTATATTCACACGAGCTCAAACTCACCGCTAAGCTGTGTGATGTTGAGAACTATACACGTTACATGTTGACACTGCGTGGTCTACATAATTGGTAACTTTGAGGGCTTAGTATTCGTGAGCTTGATAACCTGAAGTTATCACTGGATTAACCAGAGGCAGGGCTACCGAACAAGTTGCGTCGTCAACTCGATTTTGATTCCTACCCATAGCTAACATAAATGGTGAGTGATAGTGGTGGTACATCTGTGCTCGGCAGTTGAACCCAAATACGCATGTTCACCCACTTCGCTCACCCACTCCACTCACCCACTTCACTCACCCACTTCACTCACCCACTTCACTCACACACTTCACTCACCCGTACTTGACCAGCGTCATGACATTTGGTCAAACGATCAACACGGCACGAGGAGGTCCTCATCCAGAAACGGATTTCCAAAGGGGTTAACATTGTTGATATAATTAATGTATTTGTAATACAGAATACAATTGTCGGATAGAGCAAAACATGTAGCACCTATTGAAGAAAACAAACTTTTACGTGTGCGTGCGTGTGTGTGTTTTATTCTGGCACAAAAAAAATGTAAGCCTGGAGGCTGCAGCATTTAAAGGCACTTCCTTAGCTCGGCATTGCCTCAAGCCAGCGAGAGCTCAGATGCACGGCTCCCCCCTAGTTCATTGTGAATTATCCATTGTTGGCGTAAATATTGCGCAGGTGAGTCATTTGTCTCCACTCTTATGACAGCTCGGCCTGGTTGATGTGCACAGGCTGCAATAAGTTCAAGTGGCACGTGCTTAAATGTAATTGTGGCTCCCCAGGCCACTACACCTTTATCACTGGGATTTTCGCCGTGAAAGGAGGAAATGAATTACACCGTTGCGCTCATGACACCATTTTGCTAACCGATAACTGGGAAAAGCACTTACACTGCAGGGCCATTGTGATCTGCCAATTTGTCACTGACAGATCTAATTACATTGGCCAGACTTTAATCCTTTATCGTAATTGGGGGGTTTGAATTTGCAAAAGCGACTGACGATAACCTTCCTGTTAAAAGGATTCATCAAATATACATGAAACGCAATGCAA